GTGGGCCACTAGCTTGTGCGGGCCACTAACTTGTGGATTACGTTATATGTAATCAATTTACTAAGCAGCCCCTTCACTTTTCAATACTCCAGCCTTCCTCCCGCAGCATTAAAGTGATAGACGTAGCTGCGCTTGGAGCTACGCCTGGAGCTATGCACGTAGTTATGTACATAGCTGAGCTTGAAGCTGCGCTTGGAGCCGTACACAGAGCTGCACATGAAGGAGAAAGTTACTTGGTAAGCGCCACGACTTACTGTAGTTAGGACACGAAAGAAGCTTGCATAGATAGGCCCATACGTGTCCGGAAGGGAGGTCAGCATTAGCATCGCCAATCGTCGACTTCAGATGGCAGAGGGTCTATAGCGTGGACAATGTAGAGAACACCCGTAGCCACCAAACTGTAGGCAAGCTCAAGTCTTTGTTTCAAGCTCTTTGTTTTCAAGTCCCGTCTTCAAGTCTCCTTCTTCGTAGCCACTTTTGCAACCCTCTTCGCCCTTCGACCGCAAGCAACCATGCTGTCTGACACCCGTCGCGCTGTGGCCGAAGCCGTGCAGCAGTCCGTAGATGCTGACATCGACCCCTTTGTCACCACCATTTTCGAGGCCATACACGAGGAACTCAGGTCGCGGCAATGAGTAGACCTAACAGTAAGGCTTTCGTTCAACCCTTAGAACTCTGTCCTAACGAGCGCCCGCTACAGGCCAATCAGCAAAGGGCGCTCCAAGAGAAGGGCGGGATAATCACCTCCCACGAGTTTCACATCAAGGAGCTCAACAAGACCCTCTCAGGGTTCCAATTCGCAAATCAAGCCCTACATAGGGATCTCAACGAAAGCAACGACCGGGAAAAGAAATGGAAAGATGGTAAAAAACTTGTCGATGCAGAGGTCCAAGAGCTCAAGGCTCGGATAGAAGAACTCCTCAAAGGGGACGATACGGTTCAAGCGACTAGCAAAGCGCTAAATGACAAAATCGCCGAGCTCAACGCTAAAATTCGAGAGCAAGAGCAGTTTCTTAATGAGAAGACCCTCGAGAACAGCAGATTACAGGTGAACCTCGAGAAGGCTAGGGATACCTTGAATGAGGTTGCGACACAAGGAGGCGGCGGCGTCGTTGTCGTAGACCCGGAGCCCGAACACCCTGCCGAGACAATCCAAGCCCACTTCCACGAGCTCAAAGAACTGATCTTAAATCTCGTCAGAATGCACTACACGAATCGGAAAGCAAAGACAAGGGAGCGCTGGTACAACCTCCTCGACAACAATGGAAAGGACCTCTCGGTGGTCGGGATCATCGCAAGAATCATTCAAAGCTTCTGCTTCAAAGGAATCTATTTTGGCTTTGACGAAAATGTGGAAAAGCAAATGAGCGCCGTCTACGACAGCATGGACGCGAGGAATGGCGGTAGGTAGCCGAAAATTCGAAATTATATTGCGGCTTCAGCTAACTGGTCCACAGCCGCTAAGAAAGCACGGAAAGAATGGTTTGCTGCAGTTGCCAATTTAGTCGATACAGCGGTAAAGACGCAGCCAAGCGCTTAGATGCGAAAGCGACGCATCTAGCAAACGCCCTCTACAAAAACGAAGAGCTCGCCGCTTTTCTCACGAAGCCGCCGAAGAATGACCAGGACGTGAAAAAGGCAATGAAGCCATTATGCAAGAAAGCGATGGAAGTTGCACGGCTGCTGCACAGCAGCAGGACGGATTACACATGGATATTTCCTAGAAGGGATCTACGTCTCGATCCCGCACATGTCGAAGTCGTCGGCCTCGTTAACAACAGCACTCAGCCATTTGCTGAGTTTGGTGACAACTTTGTTCTTGTTTTTGGTGGCGTTTTCCGCATGGTCGGCTCGCAGGAGCACTTGACAAAGTCGGAGGTGATTATCGGTCCATTTCGTGCTCGTAAAGGTCCGCCCCCAGGCGCTCCTCCCGGGGGAGATCAAAGTGAAGAAAATCCGGAGACGGGAACGAATCCAAAATCAAGAAAAGAGCGAAAGCCGCGAGGAGAAACAAAACCATCAGCACCGCCTCCACCGCCACCACTACCACCTGTAGTACCAGATATGGACGACGAACTATGATTTGCTTTGATACATTCCCTAGAACCGAAAACATCCTCATGTCGCTACCTTCTCGAACTCTTCCCATACCTCACCAAACCGTGATACCAATTTTCGATGCTATGCCCCGTATGCCGCAAAATGCTTCTTGCCACATTTCTAATTGCGTACTTTACGGTAGTGAATAGCGACAAGGGTGACAAACGAAGGTGACAAGGCTTTGATTGGTCTTGACCTCACCACGCGTAACTTCGCACGTGACGAGACATAACTCCCAACCCTCCCCTTCAGCTTCCCAGCAAGAAGAGCAAAATCGCCACGCACCAGCCATGCCGGGACGGTTCCAGTGAGAAAGTTGATCTTCACGCCACGGCAACCTTCGTCTGTAACATAAATCCCGACCCGATCCTTCGGTATTATCAGTGACCTCTTCGGTGCTAGCTATGCGATCTCCGGTGCTGGCTATGCGATCTCCGGCGCTAGCTATGCGATCTTCGGTCCGTTAGGATCTCGCTAAGTGGGTTTGGATATTACCGTACTTTTGGGAGTTCAAGGTATGGATAGAATCGAGATTTTAGGATTGTTCTATAGATGCGCTTTTTTGTCGGGTCGCCTGTCCTCTCCTCTTTTTGGTGGTTTTGGGATATCCTCCTCAATCCTCGCTTGATTGGTATCATATGAAAAATGTAGAGTACCTACAGAAACCTCCTCCTTCTCCGGAAGAAATGGGAGTATCCATCTAGAGCCATTGTCGCCTTGCGTGTACGTGTGCATACGATGGCTCAGCCACGGGAGCTTTGTGGCGATCGCTAGCTAAGAGTTCTGCAACCGTCTCTACATGCTCCATGTTTATGTAGCTGTCGCTGACAGCGAGGTCGCGTGATCCTCGGTTTGGCACTGGCGGCTCGGGTTGAATATGTTCTTGCATGATCTAGAACCGATCTAGAACCGATCTAGAACCAGGCAAAGCGAGGTGCGCAACGGTTTCTTCCTCCCTTCCGTGACGCAAAAAGAGAATCAGGAGAGCGAGAGTGCATAGTAGATTCTTCCATGATTCATCATCCCTGTCCCAACTCCTCTCCTCCCCACACAGGCAGTCTCACCGCAATAGTTCTAGCTGCGGCGGATCCTCATTTGACGGCGTCCTCAACATCGGCACACCCGGCTTCGCATCTCTCGAAATAGTAGTCGCAGGTAATTCAACAGCATAAGTGGTCGTCTCCCGCGGCGCCTCGGCGAGCCCATGCTGCTCTGCCATCTCAGTTGGTATACGGTTGTCGTCGGGCAGCTCGTACGGCATCTTCTTGGGCTCCTCGTGCATTTCGGACTTCTCCGCCGCCTCCAGCTCGTGGGGCGTCATGGCTTTCTTGTGTCGCCGGTGGCGGAGCCAGAGGAGTAGGCCTCCAAGGAGAGCGAGCGCTGCGACCCCGCCAATCACGGGCCCGACGATGACGCCGACGCTGGTTTTCTTGTGGTGGGACGGAGGTGGAGCTGATGGCGAAGGTGGAGGGGCGGAAGTAGGCCAGATCCTCTTTACGCCCATAAGTTGCGCGAGTCCAGTGGAATTGTAGCCACCTGCGGGTGCGGTGATTGTCGCGCCTCCACTTGGACTGCCTCCTAGCCACTTCGTTATAGGGGTAGGGACGAGATACTCAGGCGCGAACGCGTCGTAGACACTACCCCAAGTGATAGTGGACATGTCTAGGATAGCGACGCCCTTAATCTCCCAATCGCATTGCTCGTTCGTGGTGTTCCCACCCACTGTGAGTAGCTGTCGGTTCCCGACGACATGACAATCGTGTCCCCATCGAGGGCTAGCCCCAAAGTTGATTTTAGTCCATCTAAAAGCTGGCAAGGAGAGAACGTGGATGTCGTCATAGGGAACTCCTGATATTGTGTTGTGGCCGCCGTAGAGATATCTTTTCTTCGGATTAGCTTAGACTATAATGGGCTACCCTATTACGCACATGTGATGACTGGAATTATCTGGTGCGGAAGCAGCAACGACACAGAAGTCTATCCTAGGCTCTGGGATTTCGCCAGTTGTCGTTTGGTTGTACCAAGTACCATTAGTGTCCGGGTCGTCAATGTATGAACTGATGTCGAAAACATCAACGGTGTCCAAGCTAAGCTACGCGGGTGGTTAGTCCTTTTTTTTTTTTACTTAAAACGGAAAATGGAGGTGAAGGTTTCGCTCACCAAGCGACCATTCGTGGAAGTGCTTGCCGAGACGTTCTGGGGACTCAATTGGCCACCTAAAGCCACCAGAATACCTTTCTTCCCAACATCCGCAATATACTGGAGCCCCCCGCCCACCCTTGGTTCATTTCCGCTAATAGCCGCTGTTGAGATATTATTCGATGTCGAATTGGCAAGGTCAATTACTAGCATTCCATCAAGAGGCAGGGTGCTATCATTGCCGAAGTTCTTCGTCGAAGAATCCGTTCCCTTGTCGATCTGGCCATTCAAGTAGAAGCCCAACCCTTGATCAATTGCCTCAGCCGCTGCTCCATGGTTCGGTTTCCAGGGCTGTCCGATGTCGTTTTGATCCCATCGGAAGTCAGATGAGTCGTATGCGTATGTCCACAGCGGATAGGTACTAGCATCGGGCGCGACATATCCCAAGAAGCTCGTGTTGCCCATGAAAGTGGTACCTCCGAACGCATACACCTCTTTCAAATCCGCGGGGCCGTGAAACATCGTGCCGCGTACCAAACTAGGAGGATAAGTTCCAGTCTTCGGGTTGGCGGTGCTCTTGCTCTCGTCTGTGATGGTGATGTTCGTTTTCCAGTCCCATGATGTTTCCATCGACACTTGAATTAGATATGTATCTACAAAGTCTTAGCGCCGGATTCTTTCATAATTGTCTCGATGGAACGTCACTGACTAATGCCGAGGATTGTATCGGATGTCACTCCAGAGTGATAGAAGGTCTCTATTCCGCCATTGATGTAAAGACTGCCATCCTTGACAATCGCTGCGATAATGTTAATTGAAGGTAGCCTGACCTGTTCTATGAGGCATCTGCTTACAAGATGAGAACCATCGCGAGCAAAAATAGAAGATCGGATCCAGAGGCGAATATAATTGCGCATGCGCAGCTTGGGAAGACAGCAGAGCTAGGGAGAGGACGGAGAACAGGCGCGACCGCGAGAGGAGCACTCCGCTAGATATCGCCATGCTAGCAACGCATTGGGGAGGGTCGGTACGACGCAAGGACCGAGAAGAGGATGCACAAACCTGGGGATTACTTAGCCTTTCTACATTGTCGGCGCCGGAGCTGGCAGTCATCATCCTAGCGGGAGGCGCGTGGGCGTATGCTAGTTAATAAGAACAGACCCTGCACCAGCTGCAGCGCGCATCCCTCCACTCTTGGGATCGCCAGTATCACGACAACGCACTGAGCAGCCTCGTCCCCGCCCGGCGTCTAGCCTGATCTCTTTACCCAATCGACAGTCGCCTCAGCGGCCTGCCCCTTGCGAAGGTTGTTACGCTGGGCTACAGGGCGAAAGCTCGGTTACGTGGAGAAAAGTGCGAAGGTTACTCGAAAGGACAACCCCGCTGGCTCAAGCTATTGCGCCAATGCCCTCACCTTTCTACTAGCTGTTCTTTAGCCTTCCATGCATTCCGCTAGCCAATGGGTCACCATCGAGGGCGGCGGGGGTGGTGGTATCATCCCGCTAACGTGGTCCGGAACGATCTTTGCCAAATCAGACATGCAGTCCCTCGTCCGACTAGTCGTTTTTCCTCGATCTCGTCGATGACATTGGAGAGTAACCAAGGCCTTGAAGTCTGGGGAGCACTCTCACAGAGTTTGAGAGCGACGATATGTGTAGTGCTATTGCAGGGCCGAATTTGTAGAGGGAAAGCGAACCTGGTCCCCGGCTTCGAAAGGAAAAAAGACAAATCACCAGGCATACCGACCAGGGAGCCCTTGCTATTTTTGAGTTTCTCGGGAAGACAGCTCAATTACTACGACCTACTTTCTGCAATTATTTGCGAGCATGTCTTCAGATTGGAGGCGGTAGCAGCAGCCGCATGCAAGGCAATATAGACCGGCGCCTACTTGCGGTGAAGCGATATCATCGGCGGCGGGGCCTTGACTCGACTAATTTGTCAGTATAGCAGTTCTGTCAGACTGATCAAGGAGGAGCTGCGTGCAATGTTCCTAAAGCGGTCCGGGAAGAGGGTTTGTGCCACTGCTGACGCTCTGGGAGAGCTGAAAACGTGGAAGACACGAAGGATCATGGCGTCACCCTGTCAGCAGCAATATCAAGGGCCCTCCTAAGCACAACCTGACCTGATATAGAGGCGGCACAGCGATGGCGATAGAGGTGGTGATGAGTGATCAAAGCAAGACATCTGATTGGTAGATAAGTGTGAAGATGAATGAGGGTCTCCTGTTCCGGCAAGTCTCGCGATGCCGACCTCGGCCGGAAATGTGTCGACATGCCGCTGCGACTGTGATTCTTTTTGGTTCTTGAGGGGAGAAGCCTCCACAATCTCGGCAGGGATTGGTTTATCATTCGGCCTGAACTGAGCCTCCATGATCTAGAATGACGTTAACATTCTCTACTCGTTTCAGTGGGGAGAAGTCAAGATGATGCGAAGCGTCTTCATCGACGATCGGGACTTTATGCTAGTTATGTCACATCACGTGCCTATTTATGCACGCTGTTCCTTTTCAAGCTCTTGCTACATTTCTTCACCATTTCCTTAAACAGTCCGAAGTGCCTTCGAAGTATCACGAAAAGCTTGATCTAAACGCAATTGATTTGTTCTAGCCAGACTGGTATATCTTTGAGTCGCCGCGGACGGCGTTTTCTATCACTGTTGTCCAAGTGCGCCCAAACGACTACGCATGCAACCACGCTTCTAGCTCCTACAAGTTACTCCTATGCTCCTTGAACGCATCCGCAACCGTCCCGCCATTCTCCACATCAACAATAACATTCTCATCCGCCGCAACAAGCTTGGGAAGTAGCTCAAGCACCTCCTCAAGCTTCGACTGCGGAATCGAAACAACCCCATTCTCCGCCGGATCGATCATGATAATATCGCCCTAAACCTCCATTAGCCCCATTCCTTCCAAGCACGCATCTTCCAAAAGAAGATTAACATACTGCCTCAACCCTCACCCCTCCAACCACGACCGGCACATCCCTCGCCCACGGCTTACTCTCCGCACCCGCCCCAATCGTACTCGTCGCCTTCGACCAAACCTGTATCAACCGTTAGCACCAATGTCCGTCTGCCTTCAAATCAAAACTACTCACTGGTATCCCCACCTCCCCACATGTCCCCAAATCCCTCACCCTCCCATCCACTACTACCCCCTTCACTCCAAGCTTCTTCATCCTGACCGCCATGATCCCACCCATAACAGCGCACTTCTGCCCCGCCGGCTGGCTCAGCACAACCACCGTATCCGCCGTCGCAAGATCGGCATACGGCGTGCCAGGCTTGATGTTCGGCTCAGGCAGGTCCTGAAGTGGTGTCGCAGAGGGGGGTTGGGTGAAGGAGCCGGACGATTTGGGGACGAAGAGGAAGGTTGATGCTTTGGCGATGGTCTTGATTATCGCCGTGGAGGTCGGGATGGGCGCTTTGGGAGGTTGTTAGCATGAGTCAGGTTCCATGGGTGGGCAAGGTGAGGAAGCAGTACTTATGTCGGCCAGAAACCCGGCGCCAGGCACATTGAGCTTCAGCAGCACGTCCGAGACCTGGTGCCCGCGTACAGCTCAGCGGAGGGACGAGAGGCGGGGCGGGGCAGGACCTACGTCGCAGGCGGAGTAGGCGGCGAGGGATTTGAGCTGGGCGGATGACATTGTGGAAATGAGGCGTGCGCGTGTGATTGAGCGGATGATTGGGGTGCTGAACGGTGGCATTGGTACAACAGAGGAGTAATTTGGTGATGAGAATTCGGTGTTGTTGCGGGTATCAGGTCGGAGCTAAGGAAGTCGAGTGCCCCGCGATAACATGTGACAGCGGTTGATACGAAATATATCGTCAGTATGAAGAGAATTGTTGCATCTTCATGAAACTAAGTGGTATCTCTGTAGTAACAACAATAGACTAAGCAGATAGTCGAAAGCAAAAGTCCTCCCAATTCCACATGACCGTTTTTAGAGCCCCGGGGCTTCCCAAGCATCCCTCCTGATCTTCATAAGGTTGGCCTGCTTGTGAGGGAAACTGATTTCCCTTTCCTTGTAAAAGCCAAGATCTAGACAATATTGGGAAAGCCTATTAGAAGTCAGTATTGCTATAATCTTTAGTGAAAGTAGAAATAGACTCACGTCTCGTTATCCACCCTAGGTTCCATAATGACCGCTTCTGTCCTGTTATCTGCCAACCAGCAGTAATGCACCAATGCACTAAGCCAGATCTTGACCCGTTGTGGTCCCCTGAACTCCTCCTCTCCGACCAGACAGTGGATGCCACGATCATAATCGCCAACATTACCACCCAGATATTTCCCAATATTATCCTCCTTCACCCAATAGATTTCAAAGTAGCCGAATGGTTTCCCGTCCCAGCATCCAATAACTGGGAAGCTGTTCTTGTTCTGGAGTCCTTTCTTCAGAAATTCTTCTTGTTGCGATTGAGGTCCCGCCTCGCCCCAAAAGTATGATACGCGAGGCTCATTCATCCACTTGTGCAGATATTCGGGATCAGAAAGCCCGAGACCGAGTAGCCCCATTGTTGGTATCGCTGGTTCCGACATTACAGATATTTGCGAGTTACGGAAACTGCTTACAATGTTGGTGGACGCAACAGGTCCTTTGTAACGTAGAGGTTTCGACGAGATCGAAGCCACCCTGAATGAAAGGTACTGGCTCATACTTGGGATAAACCTCGTATAGAATGTCTCTCCTTGCCGTGGTGGTTTTGGTCGGATAGGATGCCGCACGTGGTTCGAAAAGACCCACTGAGGAGGTGGCGGAGGGTAGTACGTAGGCAGATGACTAGTGGAATGGAAGGGACCTGGACCATTAGGAGACCACAGACCTTGCGACACCGATTCAAGTTGAGTAGGATCCGGCTTCCGCCCTTCTCCACTAGGGGAAGCCGGTCGCGAGGTATACGGCGAGCCAGACGGGAAGGGCGATTGCGCCAATGGCGACAGCGTGAAGAGATATATCCGCGGGTCCAGCTGCCAGAAAGACCTGCGGCTCACGAACATATTTGTCCAGCCCTCGGGCGACTTCTCGCTCTGCTCAATGCCGACGCTGGATTCCTCGCTGGCAATCAGACCCATGCGCTCCAGCTTTGGCAGCACTACCTTGCCCTTGAAGATACCCTCACGGTTGATGTTGATCCTCCACTCGCCCTCCGGCCTCCCAGCTTCGGACGTCTTTGCAGAAGCGGCGTTTGTAATTTGAAGGTTCGGTTCGGCTTGGTGGAAATACCACCACAGCGTAGCCCACAGCATCATGGCAATCTGCCTGGTAGGCGAGCTTGCGGGCTTGAACTCAGTGCTGCTGGGGTTTGAGATGGAGGATATGTAGAGGTGGTCATTTTGCATGGTCGGCCGCTTGTAGCGGTGCACAATGTGTCGTTTACCCTTGGGCTCCTCCTGTGCAGGTGAAGGTTCTCGTCCGTCAGCGCTTGTCTGTGCGAATTCGACGCGCTCTTCGTCCTCGGAATTGAGCACGATAGTCCATCCCGGCGGGAAGGGTGAGTGGCTATTGTGAGTGAGGTCGTTGGACTTGAAGAAGAGGCCGCCGAAAACGGGGGTGATAGTCAGGTTTTGGCCGTTGGGGAGGTGGACGATTGTGGGAGCCATGAAGGCGGGGATGAGGGGAAAGCGGGTGCTAGCTGTATAACTAGATAGAGTTTCTCCAGCCCGCGCGTGGTGAGTAAAAATACTATCTCCGTCCTGGGCCTTTGCGGGGTGGTGCTACATGGCGTGAGGCCTGAGAGACAATGGGATGGAGCGGGCTGCCGTGCAGGCGCTGCTCCATCTGCGCCGTCATGCGGGTACTTTGATTTTGATAGACTGCATGCGGGCGAAGGCTCGGCTTGCCCTTTGGATTTATTCGGTCCGTATTTAGCGGCTGGAGTCGGGAGTCCTATCGGGAGTGACTGGCAGGGTTCGCGGAACAAAAAGTGGCAGTCTGTTCTTACGCCGTCTGAGGTGGCCCGAAGAGCTATCAACGTCGTTCAGACTGCGTTTGATAACGCATCAAAGCACCTCAAGCGGGGCTATGAAAGTGGACACAAGCCTGGAAAGAGTGTTTATCTCAGCATATGAGGATTTAGCAAGAGCCACAGATTCATGGACTGCCACTTTCTGTTCAAGGAAGCCTGGGCGGCGCCCACGGCATGACGAAAGACTGAACTAATTGCTAAGCGGAACATGCGGAGAGCTCTAGCTTTCAACCTTCAACCCCCCCAACCCCTCCATCTTCAACCTTCTTTCGACCTCAATTGCACCTGTACTGCAATCATGTCGTCCACACTCCTCCGCACCTCAGGCTTCCGCTCCGCCCTCCGAGCTTCAACAGCTCCCAAACGCGCCGGCATCGCTGGAGCTACCTTCATCCGCGGCAAAGCTACTCTTCCCGACCTCACATGTATGTCCAGACTATCTTATTCAATTGGCTCTTCCACTAACTCCTCTACCTGCTAGACGACTATGGCGCCCTCGAACCCGCCATCTCCGGCAAAATCATGGAGCTCCACCACAAGAACCACCACCAGACCTACGTAACCTCCTTCAACAACTTCAGCGAGCAAATCGCCGAAGCCAAGGCCAAGGAAGACATCGCCGCGCAGATCGCCCTGCAGCCCCTCATCAACTTCCACGGCGGCGGCCACATCAACCACACCCTCTTCTGGGAGAACCTGGCGCCGACATCGCAGGGCGGCGGGCAGCCCCCGGCGGGTGGGCTGGCTAAGGCTATCAACGAGAGCTATGGCAGCCTGGATGCGCTGAAGGAGAAGTTCAATGCGGCGCTGGCTGGGATCCAGGGCAGTGGGTGGGCGTGGTTGGTGCAGGATACGCAGACGGGGGCTGTGGGGATCAAGACTTATGCTGTAAGTTTTTACCCTGCTGATGTATAGGCCAGAATGGAATAATGGATGCTAATGTGATTATAGAACCAAGACGCTGTCGTCGGCCAGTTCCGCCCCATCCTAGGTATCGACGCATGGGAGCATGCCTACTACCTCCAATACCAGAACCGTAAGGCCGAGTACTTCAAGAACATCTGGGACGTGGTCAACTGGAAGGCGGCGGAGAAGCGATTCCAGTAGATGCTTTTGCGTGCGTTTGGAGCGAGCGGATTACGGGAGATGAGCGGACGTAGCGGGTCCATTGTTTGCTCACTCGTTTGAGCGATTTCGTCGTTGTATCCTATTGTAATACAATACGATTTGCCCAGTTGATATCGTTCAGTTTGCCAGCAACATTGGTGCAGATTGTGCCAGCTTTGAGAGGAAAATCGCCGTTACCCGCGGGATATCTACTAATTAGACTTATGTACATTCTTGCAAACCTCATCATTACCGAACCTCATAACCACCACTCAGCCCTTAGATCATGTCCATCAAACCAAGCACATCCACCACTTACCCATATGCTACCATCCATCCAAAGAAATCGGACTTCTATACACTAGAAGTCCGCCAAGAGTCACGCGCCATCCTCCTGTCTTTCTCCCTCGGCCGCCTCTTCCCCAGCCTCATCAAGCCTCAGCCTCCCCTTCACAGCGCCAGCGCCCAGTCCAAGCCTCTTGACCCCTAGGGCCAGCGGCATGGGCATAACGACGCATGCCACTACCGCCTCGAAGACCAGCGCACGGTACATATTGCCCGGTGGGCGATCGCCAGGGCCCTTACCCTTTCCGTCCCCACCCTCGACTACCTGCAGCGTCCCCTCTTTCAGCGCATTCATGATGACGATGAAGATGCCGCCGAGCAGCTGTCCGCCAGCCCAGCAGATGGTGCTTCCCGCTTCGGGCGAGGCCGGGTAGGCGACTTCGACGAGGTACTCAAGGGCGATGGGGACTAGAGCGAAGGAGGCCGCGCCCAGGATGGCAGCGATAGCGTACGGGGCACCAAGAGAGCGTGTCTGCGGCGCCCAGACGAAGGCGAGGTAGCAGATGGCGATGACGGGGACGAAGAGCTTGATGCCGAGGAGGTAGGCGTGGGTGCGGTCGAAGACGGGCGATGTGAATGCTGCAAAGACGAGGCCGACGACGATGAGGACGGCGCCGCAGATGCCGGCTTGCGTCTCGGTGAAGCCGTAGGGCTCGAGGATTTGGTTAAGGAGGGAGGAGAAGGCGTTGAAGAAGCCGACGTAGACGCTAAAGGCGATGAAGAGGGGGTAGAATGAGGGGGTGTGGATTAGGGTGGAGATTGTTTCTTTGAGGGGAGTTTTGGGGAGCGCGGATGAGGCTGAGGGGGGTGTTGGTGGTTTTTCTGGGATAAAGAATGATGGGAAAGCGGCGACGGAGGACTGTGATAGTTAGTGATTGAAAGTAATGTCTATTAACGAGTTGATTGGCTAGGAAGCAGTCAATAGCTTACAATGATGGCAGTGTAAAGGACCATATTTGGAACTTCGCTGGCCTTGGTACACCACAGCGGGCCAATCAATTGGCCAAGCTATACTTGGTTTAGTTTACGGACTCTCTTGTTCCTGAAGGGTGGTGACTTACAGCTCCACCGAATGGATTGGCCAACGAAGCTACAGCTGTAGCAGAAACTCGTCCACCTTCAGTGAACCATAGGTCACTATATCGGGTAGGCGCAGCGAGAACGAATGGCTGGGCAAGGCCCGTGAGGATTTGTCCAAACATGACCACGCCGTAGTGTCCGCCTGTAGCGCGTGTGCCAGCATATCGAATCCAGTTGCCGAGTAAGACCAGCACACTGGCGGTGATAATGGCCTTTTTAGGCCCTCGATTAAGCGTCCACATTACGAGTCTAGCGAGAGGTGAGCACGAGAGCAAACAATATGACGAGCGACAAGAGAGGGAGTGAAGACATTACTTACGGACTGACTGCAACAAAAGCAAAGAGAAATCCAGTACTCAGCCAGTTTATGGCCGTTTCGGAGACATTGAAGTACTCCGACGAAGTAGCAGATAGAGGCGCGAAAGTAAGCCACTGTGGCGCTGTTAGTTGGCTCATGACATGGAACCACCTCTGAATGGATACGCACATCCCAGCTCACAACAATGTTGAGCAGAATCAGCTGGATCAAGCCAAACCAGCGCCTCTTATACACGCGGAAGTGACGGTTATGATGAGAATGCGACGAGTGGTGTCTCCAGTGACTTGGGCTAGTCGCGGTCTCCGCAGCTGCTGTGGAGGATTCAGGCACCGGATTCACAATTGGATCCACACTCTCCTCGCTGGGGATCCTGGTGCCGGCTGGCAGCTCTTCCTCCAGGAGGGTGGTACTCTTCTTGTTGCTCTGGTCCGGAGGGTCGTCCATCTTGGCCCAGCCGTGGTTGTTGCTGCGCGACGCGAACGGGTTTGTGGTGGAAGAATGGACGGGCTCGGCCGCCATGGCAGTTATTGGTCCTGATTAAGTATGGGAGCGCAAATAGTGCAAGAAGTACATACCCCACGTGCTATCTGGCCGTGCAATGCAGTACCGTGGCCGACTCGTTCATGTCACAGATAAGGGGCGATGAAAGAGGATCGATCTCCTCGCGTGCCAGCCGCCGCTAGAGATGAAATGGGAAGCTGTCGCCGCTTTGGCCCCTCCTTGTCACAACCTCACTCTAACTTCCTGTGCTTCTAGCATCAGTATGACGACCTCCTGCTATAGAGAAGGCCCTACTGCGCCTGCCACTGGACGGGCCTTCGAGCGTTTTGATGCTATGCCGGAGCTAGCGCCCGATATTTTCGTGTCGTGTGTGCCGTTAACGCGTTGGTGTCATCTACTTCACGTCGTCAGGATGGCTCCACTACGTTTGGGACGAAATGTAGAGTACAGTAGGTCCTAGGGTATGTTAGGTAGTTAAAAAAGCAAGTCTCTTTTTTCTGTTTCTTTTATCTTTTCCTCAGCCTTGTGGTCGTGGCTCCACGCCATCATTGGCAGCTCAAACTCGGATATGAATCACGCGCCCAGAGACACAAATCAGAGCCCCAAATTCACATGGCTGCCCTTATTGGACTTCGTGTAAGCATAAAAAGCATAAAACTACATCCGGCATCGGCGCTTGTAAACCACGATACCAACCTTGGATCGCCGTAGCTCATGGCAGCATCGACAAACCTCCGGGAATCCAACACCGTCTGGGGTGGGCCGGGGACATATCAGACTTGCCAAAGTTATCGCATTGCAACTTTCAATGATGCACAAGAGGACCTCAAGCAGTGCTAGGCAGGTGTACGTAACCCAGAGAGCGCGACTGCTCCCAGTCCTCGTGCGTTGCTCCGAATAGCAATGTTCGGTATAAAAGAAGGTCAGCCCTCGAAGCTCCTCCGTCACTTCTACACTCCACTTTTCGGGCCCTCCTAGATCTACTCGAGGTCAATTTCAGCGAGCCCGCGTAGAGTATGCATGTGCAAGAACACCTGCTCCCAATCCTCGCCGCTGCTCCGAATCGCACGGGAATTGTAGGGTATAAAAGAGGTTCAACCGTCGAAGCTCCTCCATAACTTCTACACTCCACTTTTCTAGCCCCGCTGGGGTCCGATAGATCCATCGAAGCCGACCTCAGCGGGCCCGCGCAGAGTCTGAAATACGATGCCGGCTCCCAATCCTTGCGTGTTGCTCCAACTCACACGGGGAATCAGGGCTATAAAAGAGGACGAACCCCCAAAGCTCCTCCATTACTTCTACAACTCCAATTTTTGGGTCCGCTGGGGTCTAATAGGTCCATCAAAGTCGACCAGCGGCCCGCACAGAGTCTGAAATACGACGCCTGCTCCCAATCCTCGCGTGTTGCTCCGAATAGAACGGTGAATCCGGGGTATAAAAGAGAACAAATCCCCAAAACTGCTGCATCACTTCTACACTCCACTTTTTGGGCCTGCTGGGGTCCAATTGATCAATCGAAGTTGACCTCAGCGGGCCCGACTAAAATGGCCACGATACTGGACCGTGCGCTCCATTTTCACCGATTTCACCACGGTGGTGAATAACCGATGTCACCGCCAGAACAATAGGTAGGGCAATAGCCCTCAATACACTATCATCGTATTGTCGCCTTCACTCTCAACAGCACAATAAAACTTCTATTCATCCACCCGGCCTATTGTCACTCAATACACTCATCGCAACAATAGGATGGCCTAGAGTATATCTTCTCGACCTCCCGTCAGCTTTCCTATTTCCTTCCTTCTTCTTGTCACAACCTGAAGCTTCTTTTGTCTTTCGATCTGACGACTTTCTCTGAGCTTCACACATTTCCACTTTCTTCCTATCACTTCCTCTTCCTTTCCATCACTTCCATACGTCCTTCGCATCCGCAACCGGTACCGCAAGTGTCTCATTCCATCCTCTCGATTTACGATCCCACGACCTTACGCTCAAAATGGCACTGTCAAAACGAGTCAACGACGCAATCACCCGCGCGAACGATGCAAATCGGGCTGGCCCAATCATCGTTTCGCCTCCTGCAAATCGTCCTGTGCCCTTCACGGTGGAGGAAGACGACCTGATTCTGCGCCTCCGATCCACGACGCAGCTCTCATGGCCCGAAATTGGAGCGCGCTTTCCGGAGCGTGGACGGCGTGCTGATATCTCTGTCCAAGTTCGTCAGTCTCGGGGACTCAACGCCAAGGCCATGGCAGATGTCAACGCTTTCCGCTCTCATTTCGGAATCACGGCAAATTCCCTTCAAAATGACGTTCATTTCACGCGTGCGAACGGTGCTCACATCCGAACTCCTGGATCCAACGTCGCTGTCCCTGCCTATGGACTCGTCACTCCCACCACTGGAGCACCTCAGGTCGTCATCCCGTCTGCTGTCATCGTCCCGTCCGTTGCTCCGATTCCTACCCTCCCGGCTCCGACGCCTGCATCTAGCTCCGAAATCGCACCGATTGCAGCATCTTCTGACTCTTCTTCACTCCTGTCTGAAGCCCCTCGAACACCTGTCCTGGACGCGCAAGAACCTCCCGCGCCTGCTCCAATCCCGATCGCCTCGTCCGAGCATCCCAAAGAAGCCTCCGAATCCACCGCTCTTCCTGATCCTTCTGCCTCTGCTCCACCAGCGCCTGTGGTGCCCCAACCCACGGTAGCCCCCGTCCAAACCGGTCGACCTGCACGCCCCGTTCGAGCCCGCGTTCCCGCTCCCGCTGCGACAGCCCCCAAATCAGCTCCTGTCCGTCGCGCTGTTGGAACTCGAGTCCAGCCACTGAGGGCCCCCCCAGGTGGTTGGCACGAGTGGCTGTCTGCTCCGGTACCCGACATAACTCATCGGGGGACCCCCGAACACGCCCGCCTGGAAGCTGAGCTGAAGGCTCACACCGCGACCTTCCCCTTCTTCCCCGAATCGAACTATCGCGCAGACTTCGCGTGGAGTGCCCCAGTACCGCAAACCTTTGTGGAGAAGGAGCTGGAGGACGCCCGAATTGAACGCGAAGAGGCGCAGGCTGCGGCTTTGGCCCCGAGACCAGCCGTGATTCCGATCGAAGACCTAGAGACCTCCGAATTGGCTGCATTGCTGGAGCTTCCAAAGGAGTCGAACTTCCCGACGTCGGAGATCCTTCAACGTGCCAAGTGGCACATCAAGCCGTACGCCGTCCGATTCGACGGGAAGGAGTGGCGCCGCCCCAAAGCGGCGCCCAAACCAGCACCGAAGAAGAGGGCGGCTGCGGCGGTGGTGGACGCGCCGATGGAGACTCGAGCTGCCAAGAAGGCGCGGCAGGGTTGAGGGGTGGGTGGTGAGATTTGGGGGGGTGGTGGCGGGAGGAGTGGTTCCCCGGGCTAGTTTGGCTTTTCTTTTCTTTTCTCTTTTCTTCTGGCATACTTATCGAGCATCTTTATTGTTTTGTTTGGCATTGTTTTGGCGCTGCATAAGATACCCCAGCATATTTAGCCTCTTTTCAGGACCGACTGGTGTTGGACTTGATCTTGGGAGGGAAGGGGGATGGTGCGGTATATAGCTTTGGATCTGGAATCGAGCTTCTTTTCTCTTGACAATATACCTATGGCATGAAGATGTTCCTCACGTGATTGCAAAGCCCAGCCTTATGATGTCAAAATCTGAAGTTCCCGAATCGGGACATTGTCGAGTCGGGCGTGAGTGGTCATGTCGTTGGCATAAAGCTCTACATCCAGACGCAGCTGCGTGTCCTTTGAGGACCTATGTATCGAGTGAATACACCCCTGGGCTAACGGAAAAGGGGTACTACATGATGTAACGTTCCGGACGTCCTGAATCTATAGGCGTAGCTGTTTGTCTTTTGATAGCCTATGTAGCGAGTGAATACACCCCTGAGCTAACTGAAAAGTTGCACTGTACGATGTAAAGCTACGGACGTCCTAGATCTGTAGACGTAGCTGCTTGTCTTTTGACACCCTGTATATCGAGTAAATACGCCCCTAGGCTAACTGAAAAGGTGCCCTATATGATGTAAAGGTCCGAATGTCCCAAATCGGAACGTTGTCAAGCTGGAAGTGAATGTCGATGTAATTTGAATGAGTTCCTAGATACAGGCGCAGCTGCTCGTCTTTTGACAACCTATGTATCGAGTGAATACAACCCTGGGCTAACTAGAAAAGTGCACTACATGATGTCAAGTTCTGAACACCCCAGATTGGAACGTTTTCACGCGAGCCGCGAAGGGAGATGCAGTTTCAGTGAAGCTGGAGATGTAGACGTAGCTGTTTCTCTTCTGACAGGCTATGTATCGCGTGAATATACCCCCGAATGAATTGAAAACCTGAACCTCACGATGTCAAGTTCTGAACACCCTGAATCGGCACTTTATCGAGCGGATAGTGAATAGAGATGTCGTTTGAGGGAAGTCCAATATATGGGCGTATCTGCTCGCCTTTTGACAGCCTACATATCAAGTGAATACACTCCTGAACTAATTGAAAAGATGAATCTCTTGATGTCAAATCCCGGAGTGTCTGAATCAGGACATCGTCAAGCGGATAGTGAATACAGGCGTCGTTTGTGGGAAGCCCGACATCCAGGTGTATATGCTTGCCTTTTGACAGCCTAGCTGTATATTGATTACACCCCCGAACTAACTAAAAAGATGAACCTGATGATGTCAAATTCTGAAGTATTCGAATTGGCACGGAATCGATCGAAGCGCGAAGTGGGAACGATTTGCAACAGCTCCAGAACTACATGGTGGCTACTATCATGTTGACACCGTACGTACCGAGTGAATACACCCCCAAATGAATCGAAAAGATGAGCCTTACGATGTCAAGTTCCGAAGTGCTAGATCAGCACGTGATCGCTCAAAGCGCGAAGTGGCGTCGAATTGCAACAGCTCTTGAACTGCATGGCAAATGCTATCATTTTAGTGGCTTACCCAAGGCCGGATGGTGCTCCTGAACTATGTGAAAAGATATGTGCACAATGTAAAGAACCATGAGGCGCGAATTAGACTAGCGTCGATCTAATCGCTAGGGGGGATACTACTCGCATATGAACCCAAATCTGACCTGTTTTATGTGCATTTTGACAGCTTACCCACGGACGAATGGTGCCTCTAGACTATGCAAAAAAATACGCGGATGATGTAAAGACTTTGGAGCCCAGATTTGGGTCCTAGTACAGTACTTGTCTTCAATTAAGCTACCTTACAACTGGTTCTCTTCTATAGAGAGTTATAATGGCTGAATCTCTACTAGACCATGTATTTATAACTCATAGAGATAGACTAGCGGCCCGCATGGCTCGCCAGTACAGGTCATACAACTTTGCCCTCTCAAGCCTTGAGATTACCTGACGCGATTACATCGGCATTCCTGGCATAACTGAATATGACAGCGGCGACACTGGAGGATAAATTTCCAGTGGCGAGTGTCACACATTTCGCACTGGAAGCCTCGTCTTCCTCCATGCTGAATTTTCTCGAATCTGCCAGGATGATCGCACTCGTGAGTTTCGAGTAATTCCTGTCGCATCGCGCGGACACGCTGCTGGCGCTCTTGAGGGGGCAAAGGCATCCAGCCGACGTCTCTAGCAACGCGATGTTCGGCTTGTTCTTCAAGGTTATCCTCATCCCATCTGTCACAACTGCAATTCTTCCATTCCACTCCGCAGACGTAGCAGAACTCAGCCTTGCATAAACAGCTTGAGAATAGTAATTAGCCATTCGACTGCCCTTCTTTAATGGTAGCTTTACTGTACTCACGTCATATGGTAGCATCCAGATCTCAATTCCAGCATATTCCTACAGTTGTAGCAGCGTCTCCAACGCATCCCTTCGGCAAGCTCTAAAGTCGCCTGGAGTTCACGATCTTCAGGACAATCACCTGTATGAGAGCCGTGCTTGCAATATGCGCAGGTTTCTTCCCCACAATGTTCGCATGTGGCCCGACCTGCCACAATGTGGTCCGGAGAAATAAACTTTCCGCATGGGAGATTGCTACAGTAAGTCCTATCCAACGTGGAGAACTCGATAGCGGCTGTGTTGAATTGAGCCAGCTCCTCCGATGACATTTTCCACGCAATTAAGGTCAGAGGGATCTCCTGACGATGGCAGCTTGGCGGATACAAGCTTTGGTCCTTGGCAGATTTCATGAAGAGTGTCTTCATGCAATCGGTGCAGTAGATAGTTCCACATGGAGCATGAACGATCTCGTGGGGCGGAAATTTGTCGATGCAAGCGATGCACTGCAACCACTTATCGCGAGAGCGAAGTGGAAGCTTTTCCAATACGGTGCGCTGCCTCTCGGCGTAGGTCATGGAAGGGCCGGCGTCGTCCTCCTGTGACTTTCATCAGTTATACCATTTTTAATACTCAAGTACTGGGTCATTAATTCTTGCACTACTCTTTAGGACATACCTCATCAGAGTCGAGCAGGAACTGCATCCTAGCGGTCGGGGTCTGAAATGCTTCCAGAGACCCACTACGAACTCCCTCTTCATAAGGAGGTGGGGCGTCCAGAGCCAGATCCGGGTTCTGCCCACTAAGTTGTAGCGCTAGACGTCTATCTCTTTCTCCCTGAGCTTCTTCCTGGGCGATCTCTCTGATGAGTTGGGAATCCGTATCCACGGCTAGGGCGATACTATGAGCGCATTTGAGATCTTCCAACAATCCAATAGCTTGCTGGAGCTCTGCTTGGAATGCCGAAAAGGCCACATCAATGTCCGGTGGGCTACAAGCTTTATGCTTACCCTTCTGGCCTTTGGAATGGATGTCGATTTCCTCGAGCTGCAGGGCGAGAGCCATGATCTCATCGTCGAGATGAGCCGGGTGGGCGGGCTGAGTAGTGGCTAGGGCTGCACTCATGGTGTTTGGATTGAATGATCTTGTGGAAATGTGAGTTGGCTTGAGGATGGACCGAGGAACGGCAAGGGGTGAGGGTTTCTAAATGGAATTATCTCAAGGCGAAGGATTGTTGAATCGTCTTCGATGTGGACTGAACTAAGGGATGCGGGGAATACCTAAGGGGCGCTAAGGAGAATGACGCAGTGAAACCAAACTTCAGAGAATGCCCTAATGTGCACAAGCAACACGACTAAAAGCAAATAGAGACATAAAATACGCGCCGATATGATTGCGGCTTTATATAGTCTAGTTGCTTGACCCTAGATTCTGCCTCGAACGAGCATGGACTATCGTAAGAGAAATTTTTCAGATGGTCCTACTGCAATTCACGCCGGCTGACTCCGTAGCTCCGTTTATGTGCGATTTTGGAACGTGCTCTTGGCTTGAGACTGTGAAGTGAGCTGGGTGGAGCACCTAAATGGAAATGCAGATAGTCGTCATTAAGTTGGATCATGGTGGTTCGATCCGATATTCTAACACTTAACCCCAACGCCGCTTACGTCCAGTCATTAGGCTCACGACTTATGCAGGTATGATAGTCTTTCATCCCTGGATGTGCTGTAGAGATAAGCAGAATGACGACGCGCCTTGAGGAGTTCAAAGTAGGATGCAGGGAGGGAAAAGTGGGACGAGGGTAGTTAAAGTCTGAACGCTGAGTCAGCACAGACACGGTCTCTCACTCGAAAACACCACATCTACGTTTCCAAGTCTTATAATCGTGTCTAGATATTGGCTCTTCCAATTCAAACCTTCGATTGATTCGCTCATATCTTCATTGAGTACTCCGTTGTCCGCAGTACCTCTCCCACCCGTTCTCGCCACTCTATTATGTCTATCGAGAGTAGTAACCCTTCCAGAACAATGAAGAAAGATCGTTTGATCGTTATAGATGACCCACATCCAGCAATCCTCCACTTGCCACTCATTCATTGAGTAGCCCCTTCCAGACACGAGATCAGCCACCACGAGAAGCGGTTGAGAGTAAGGAGTAGCTTGAAGTGATTTCGCCAAAGCTAAATGCAACGCACAATTATCACCTCATGAGTCAATCCATCCCAGTCATCGAGCTCGCAAAGCCCGAATCCCACTGCGTCCAATCCCAACTCTCCAAGAAATTTGTAAGTGCGAAGTTATCTCCTGCCCCATCCCCGTGGCTCGTTGCACCGTATCCGCCCACTAAGTCGGCAGGCATTGCATCAGCGAATGGATATACGGAATGCACCGGTAGGTAAGACCCCACAATCGGAGTTTCACCCATGTTGTATGGCTGCGCCGTAGGGTTGTGGCAGTTGCTGGAAGCCGCGTTGTATTGGCTTTGGCTTTGGCTTGGAGGCTGATATTGGCTTTGGCTTCGTACTGGAAGGGTATTATTAGCAGTAGTCGACAGTTCCCGACTCCGCCGCAGCCGATTAAGCATTATTCCCAGCACATCCCCCGCCTTGGACGCATCCGAAGTGTAGGATAACATGGACGTGTAGATGCGATGAGACCCCTGGAGCAGCTCAAATCGCTCGGTCAGCCCCTCCTCCTCATCTTTACTCTGCTGCAATGTTCTTGAGTCCGCGCGATGCTGGAGCTCCTGATCCATATCCATGCACAGTACCATTGCAGCGAGGAGCAAGTCGTGGCTCATAAGTGACAGGGCCCGCCAGTTCGCTGTCACGGTCCCGTAATGCTTATAAGATACTTCGTACAGGCGCTGCTGATGCCGCAGGACTTGTGAGGCAGCGCTTAGGCAAGCTTGTCGCGAGTGGGCGTACTTCGGATTCGTGCGTGCGGGAATAAGATACTTGCGGTGTAGTATTATGCGGGCACACTGGGCGAGAACATCAACCTCGATCAGCCGGCCAAGTGCGATCGGTGCGAGTGTGGTGTCACTCCCGGGCACGACAATCCAGGCAGGTCGTGAATCTAGCCGTGCATCCAGCGCCTGATCGAGCGCAAGGACGTCATCGAAAGAGAGGCTTGCGGCGCTTGAACGATCAGTGATGCGGGTGACGATCTCTAGGAGTTTAGTCTTGTAGTTGAGAAAGCCGATGCTGGTCGGCTCGTTGCTTGGACGAGGCGTGGGCAGTTCTACCATTGACGGATAGAGGTCTTCATCGAGCACGCTCACGGGTGGTGCAGTATCGACCTGACGTTCGTCGATTTGGCGAGGGAGAGCACATTTGTGTGAAAACCAGACATCGATCTGGAATATGTACGCCCACGTTCGGCGGCGGATTTCGCCATCGAAGATAGATATGTCGGGGTAGTGGCTTGGATCGCGGTGGTAGCCTGCACGCAAAGCCAGGCGCACTATCATCGCGAACACCAGCGATGCTCGAAAATAGCCGTCTAAGTTCCAGAAGTGCTCGCAAGCAACATACATCACCTTCTGATTGTTAGTTGAAGCGCTTCATAGAAGTGAAGAAGGGTAAGCTTACCATAGCTTCCAGCGTATATGTCGTGGGCTTGCCGTAGTCGGACGCTATCAAGCACTGCGATGCTCTCGTCCGATAAATGCGGATCGTTGTCTCAGGTAGCAAGATATCATCCACGTGTATATTAGTACGCATAGCCCATTGCAGTGATAGACACATTATTGCGTACATCCGTGCCAGCCACGCAAGGGACACCGCACTAGGATTTTTCCAAAAGTCCTCGTGCTCTTTCAGAAGCGTCGGGACATGCATTAATTGGCTTCCTTGCAAGTCCATCTCCTGTGTAAATATATGAATTAGATTGTCAGCAACGGCTTTAGTAGGCAGGGAGCATAACAATTCCTCGATTGTTATGGTTCTGTGGTCGCCGAAAAGGAGTTCCAGGCCGTGAGTTTCTTCGGGGCTAGTGTCTGTGTTGTCCCAGTCCTCAGAGCTTCGGCTTGTATCTAGTTCTTGTTTTATACTGTGGATCTAGAGCTTGTCAATAGATTGAGGAGGGAAGTTGCAGAGGTGTTGCTGCACTCACGTCCTCAAGAATAGCCTCCCAATGCGAAGAGTCGACGAATCGAGTCTCTGGCCCCTTCGCCGTAAGTTGAGGTGAAGGGTTTGCTATGCCATCTTCCACCGCCCGGCCGCCTACATCAGATGGTCTCCTAGCACTACCACTCGTGTTGCCCTCTAGTCCCGTGACATCTCCACTTCTTGCAAGGGGTTGGGTTTCCGCCAGAGACGTGACAAGTCTTTCAAGACGACGAATTCGGTCATTAACGTTGTTGACCGACTGGTTCCTTGTCGGCGTCAAACCACCAACAGATCCAGGCATGGGTTTTCTTTTGTTATGAGGCTGGTTTACATAGACGCAGGTCCCCAGCGGCTTCTTCGCGCAATTCTTGCATGGCTGGCCGCGGTCGCACTTCAGTCTATTCTCCGATTAGCGAGCTCGGGGTATGATATCGCGAGGACTGACTTGCGATTTCTACACAGAATGCAGGAAAGCTGGGGCTTGGGCCGGGAGCGCGTCTCGGACGATGGGGGTGTATTTGCTTTCCCCAAAGCGGAATGGTCAACTGAGGGGTTGAAATTCATGCCTTTGTCCCACACTGCTCCACTAGCTAATGGACTTGCGCGCATATGATGCGAATAGCACGTAGGTACCACGAGCGACACAAGAGCGGTCGATCGGAGAGGAATGTCGTTGACGGAGTAGCTCCGAAAAAAGGACCGTCCGGGACCGCCCGGACGATCCGAAGAATGGCCATAATTGGTGCATATAAGAAGATATAACTATATAGAGCTCTAGTACTCAGCCTCAGAGGAGGAAGCCGTAGATATTCTGGAGTGAGAAGCTCAATAAGTGTTACTTCATGAAAGGCCAGACAGTACTGTAATATTAGACCTCATAATATTATACCAGCGAGTCAGACATATTCCACATGACCTGATCTCCTGAATCGCTATTCCGCAAGGCTCTTCTTTTTGTTCGGACAGTGTGGTTGCTTTAACAGACGACGGAAGCTGTAGCTTTTTGAAATCAGTCGCCTCCCCAGGGTTGGCCTGGCAGTCAGACATCAATTTCAACGACAGGCTTAGAAGTCTCCCAACGTAGTCTCACCGCAACGACACAGAGCTTGTTCGGATTTCGGAAAGTTCAATGGGGACTGCCATGCAGTGGAAATGTGTCTGTATAATCACCTCGTACTAGACTGATGTATGTGATACGCTCCAATGTCGAGATAGCAACAACGTGTTATGATTTCTGTTCAACATCATGCCACACCTTCCAATGGAGAAAGATATATTTTCGGTGAACATGGAGTTGAAGATCAAGAAACGTAACGGGGGTCAGGCACTCTGGGCGTGAAAAAAGTATGTAACCCGCTCACAGTCCTCTGATACGTACATCTGTCTGCCAATGCTTGGTGTGCTGAAGACTCTCAAGATAGCCCCAAGTGAAGAGCTCCCATCACGCTCAGGTTTTCAAGGACGCATTGAAGCACCCCAAGCAGTGGCATCCACCGCGGCGGCTTGTTCAAACTGAGAGAGCCACTTTCTTTATGCCTGCGTGTCAGGGAAGACGTCACGCTGGGCATCAAAAAAGTGGCACACTCATTGAGTACTCTGCCCGTATGTACATCTGTCTGCCACTGCATGAAGTGCTTCAACAAGTTTCCACATAACCCAAGGCGAAGAGCTTCTATGTTCTTTAGATTTCTTAAGTTACATTGAAACAGCCCGAACAGTTGCAGACAGGTGTACAACACGAGACAGCCTGTTCTAGAATTATTGTGCCACCTTTTCTATGCCCCGCGTGGACGTCCAGGTGATGGTGCCAAGACCTTAGTCATCCACAAGCGAGGCGGAAGATGCCGGCCACACTCCAAATCGAACTTCTTCAGCGAAACGCACGACCACGCCAAATCATCGACAACCCGCCACAACCGACGAGATGGGTGCCCTCAAGTACGTCGAAGAGCTCCAGAAGCGCAAGCAGAGCGATGTCGTTCGCTTTTTGATGAGGGTCCGCTGCTGGGAGGTATGAACACCCCACGCAATTGCTACCACTGCCCGCACTCTGCCGGCTTCTCCTCCTTTGGCGCACTCTGGCTCTAGGAGAGATGGCGGCGACTGCTGGGCAGTGCTTGATGCCACTCGTTGAACATTAGCTGAGAGTGTCTTCATTAGCTGCGTCAATTGAATGTTATCCACCGAGGTGAGTTAGGATCTCTTGCTGGCAAATTTCTTCGAGATGGCCGGACGACGAGAATCGACAATGCTAACATCTAGACAGCTTCCCGCCCATCGCGACCCGATAAGGCCCGCCGCCTCGGGTACAAGGCTAAGCAGGGCTATGTCATCTACCGTGTCCGTGTGAGGAGAGGTGGACGCAAGAAGTACGGTTCATAATGGTCAAAAAACACCTATGAACAAAACGCTGACAATTTTCTGCAGGCCAGTGCCCAAGGGTGCCACCTACGGTATGCGATATCCTGAGTCTCCAACGATATAGGTCGACAGATATCGAGACTAGCAGCTAACCTATTTTTCCTCCACAGGCAAGCCCACCAACCAGGGTGTCAACCAGCTCAAGTACCAGCGCTCCCTCAAGTCCACCGCCGAGGAGCGTGTCGGCCGCCGCTGCGCCAACCTCCGTGTCCTGAACAGCTACTGGATCAACCAGGACTCGACCTACAAGTACTACGAAGTCATCCTCGTCGACCCCCAGCACAAGGCCATCCGCCGCGACGCCCGCATCAACTGGATCACCAAGCCCGTGCACAAGCACCGCGAGTCCCGCGGCCTCACCGCCACCGGCAAGCGCTCGCGCGGTCTCGGAAAGGGCCACGGCTACAACAAGACGACTGCCGGTCGCCGCAAGACCTGGAAGCGTCACAACACCCTCTCGCTCTGGCGTTACCGTTAAGCGGATCGCTGGGGGGTGGATGTTATTGGGGATGTTTTCTGCGTGGGTTTGCAGCATTCATGGGCGGAGAAATAGGGAATGCGGAGCCAGTGTTGCAAGCAACATGTTTGTTTCACAGTGAGGAGAGGGATACCTCGACTCAAAAAAACGAGTTCGTTCAATGGACGGCTTGGGCGCCTTATACCACTGCAAAACTTTTCGTGACGCTATCAACATGAATTGTGGGTTATTAATGTGATTCCTAGACTCGGCGTTTCTACAGATGTGAGCGTGATAGAAGATGGATATCTCAAATGCCTAATCTTAAACCAAGTCCCAACGCCAACAAGATCTGAGCCAAATAAAAACAACGTTTGTACCGTGGCTACGCCTCATACTGGCGCCAATCTGAAGCGAGCTCTGTACTCAGTTATCTGTCCAATAGCTCTCTGATAGTGTGATACACCCTGTAGATGCTACGCATCGTAGCAGCTTGCCCTTCACTGATGTTACAGGCTTCTTTTCGTCCATGCTATGGAATGCCAGATTGAGGACAGTATTCGAAGGCCCGTGGGGATAGCCCTTGACTGCCAGGTACTTCAATTGCCTTCATGGCGCCAACACCTCTTGCTCCTCGAGCTGAGACACTCTAGAGCCACTGATCGTGCGTAAAGTTGGCTTGACACGCGGAACCTTTTGTCCGGTGGAGGCGATAGACGGGTGATAAAATTGGAGTAACCATCCCTTAATGCTCCTCCTCCGATTTCGTCTTTTCTCCAGCCTGCCCGCCCTCCAGCTTCTTCCGCTCCGCATCCCATTCATCCTCCTGTTTCTGATCAGCCTCATGCTTCTTCGCCGCCTCGTCTAGTTTTTTCTTCTCCGCCTCATCAGCTTTCCTCTGCGCCTCCTCTAATTCCTTCTTTTTAGCAGCTTCCTCTTGTTTCTTTCTAGTTTCCTCTTCCTGCTGTTTCCGAGACTCCTCTTCCTGCGTCCTCCTCTCCTCTTCTTCCTTCGCCTTCTTAATAGCCTCCTCGGCCTCCACCCTCATTCTTTCCGCCTCCCCTTCCTGCAACCACGGCCCCTTGCCATCCCCAAACACTTTCTCCACCATGTCCTGCCCCCCACACACCCCATCCCCCTCACCCCACCCCAGATACCGCCCCCGCACCGCCCACACGCCGCCCTTGCCCCCCCGCATATCCCACCAGCTATCCCCGCCCACCGCCGCCGCATGCCACGCCAGACTGCCCTGCTCGACGCGCAGCGCAGAGCGCGCGAGCGCACGCGCGTGTGGGTAGAACCAGAGATCCTGCCAGCCAATCGCAAACGGGGATTTCTTCTCCTTGTCCCCATCGTCGTCGCGTTTGTTGGTTTCGGGTTTAGAGTTGATCTCCGTGGGGTTCTCGAGCACGGTTTTGCCCCTCGGCTTTGGCGCTGCGGCGGGTTGGTTGAGATGCAGCAGGGCGGGCACGGCGCCGGTATAGGTGTTTGTCCAGAGCTGGATCTCGACCCAGGGCTTGTTGGCGGCGGGCAGGTTATCGAGCTTGTCGTCGTGCACGAGGGGTTTGATGAGGTAGGGGAGGGGGTTTGGGGAGGGGTCTTTGGAGGGATCGAGGGTATGATAGGGGGGTGGGAGGTCGAGGAGCGCGTCGGGGAGGGTGAGAGGCGGCGTGGGGGTGTAGACGTGGTGGAGGGTTTGCATTTCGGAGTGCGGGAGGGAGACGAGCTCTTTGGGGGCGGTGGAGGTTGTGGGCTGGAAGAGGAGGTGGGCGTAGTCGAGGCCCATGGAGAATTCCAGGCGAGGTGGCGCTGTGGTGTTCTTGTCGGTGGGAGGACGATTTTTGCTGGATAGCCAGCCGCGCCAGGCTCCGGAGACTGTTTTTGCGGCTTTGAGAGCTTCTTCGCGGGCGGTTTCTTGCTCAGAGAAGAGGGTGGAAAAGATGTATTGGGCTGTGGGTTCGGTGCCGTTTACTTCCACCATCTTTGGGAGTGTTGAGGCAAAGATGGCCCGGAGATCCTTTGCAGGGCCGATTACCGTGCCAGCATTGAGGTATTTCGCGCGACTGAGAAGCTCAGTGTCATCCGTCTCGAGTCCATACGTGTTTGTTGGTAGTGGTGATTCCGGAACCGTTGGACACGCCGTAGCATTTCCCTGCTCGGCCCAACAGAGCTTATCAGCCCCCCAGACAACCGTCTGATTGTACATCGCCCTTGCTGCTCCATCCTTAGGATATATAACCCCATATTTGTCCTTCAATCGCCGATTCGCTTCCGCGAGTATATTCTGGTATTGCTTCACAAGAACCTCCGAAGGTAGCTGAAAATAAACATCTTGACCATCCACAATCATAACGAGATCATCATCTCTCACATTCTTCCTATCCGACAAGTAATTCAGAATATTCTTAACCTTCGCACGCTCTAACTCCGTTATATTCTTGAACTGTTCCCCAAAATTTATGATAGTCGGAGCCGGATAGTCCATAATCATAGCAGATACCACAGTCTTGCAGAAATCAGAGTTATCTTTTGTTGCTGGCATGAGGAGGTGGAAATTCGGCGTCTCCTTTTTTAAATGGCTTGGAACGTTTTTAATGGCCCCGTTTTCGATTTCTAGGGTCATATTCGACGGTGTAAAGATTTCGATTGGTTCTGAAACCTCAGTTGGGTTTGTTTTCCATGAGGGGAGGTGGTAGTTGTCAAGGGAGGAGAGATTTTTGTAGGATAGAGACTGGAATGCCAAATTAGCATAACTCCTTGAACTCCAAGTCGTCACCAAATAGCATGCGGGATTCGAGTATCGCCTCAGTACGAGACTTCTCCTAATTGGCCATGCTCAGAGAGCCACATCCACCTCTTCTTCAAGCGTTCAGGAGCGTCCAAATTCTTAGAAAATTGTTCACCCACCTCAGCCGAACTCTGAAATAACAGCCCACACATCACCACCGCAAACACAGCCGAGATGATCAGCGTCCTCCCTCTCCTTCCCTTCGCCAATTGCAACAACGCGTCCCATTTGTTCCCAGGCGCATACCCGGGCGACGCTGGCGCGCTGTCATCTCCAGTCGTCATGACTTCGAATATGTCGACTCGGGGATCCAATGGTGCGTTCCAATATCTCTTCAAACGGAGATGGCCCTACTGCTTCGAGGCTCCAAGAACAGGATGGACAAGAGGCCTCATGTGCGAACGCAGTCGGAATCGTGACGGAACGCGACAGGAGACCTAGTGAGACAAAAGACGCAAGGAAAAGCCTCGAGGGGTAGGGCGGACAGATGCGGCGCTCTCGAAAGCTCAACGCAGAGAAGACAACCTAACCAAAAGGTGTAGAAAAGAGGGAGGAGCAGTAACGCAGCAACATGAGGGAGAAATAGCGTCAAGAGAAGGCCGAAGAGGCCAGGCCGAGACACGATCGAAGTCAGCTCCTCTGGCGGAGGCTAAGTTAGGCTGAGAAATGGGGGCTAAGCTAAACAAGCCGGCTGCTGGTGGTTGCCCCTGCCGATGATCGCCCTCGCTTCCGATGAAGGGAAAGCGCAGGGCGGGTGCGACCCCTGTGCCCCTATTGCCGGAAACATATGCGATGTCTGAGGGGCGGTGAATTTATTTTCTACGTCTTTAAGAAGTTGAGATGTTCGGTACTTTAGCCTTGTGTAGAGTGGTCAAGGGGCTTCTCGTCCGAACGCATGTTGATTGGCACAGGGATCGCGCATGCCATCTAAATTTAACTCGCGTGTTCAATATAGCAGTTAAGATTCAGGGTGACAGAACTGGGGATACAGACTACTGCACTGTAATCCTCTCGGAGTATTATTGAAGCACAAGGTAGCCTACCCTAATTAGGAAGATGACAGATGTGGTCGCACGTCAAATCGCGAAGAGAACTAATGGTTTGACAGATCCAACACAGCATATGCACATGACGCTGTGACCTCTCGATCGCTCGGAAACAGATCTTGCAGAAGTGATGCGCACATGGAATGTAGGAACATCTTGCCTTACTCGTTTATCGACTATTAACTATGTCCACGAACCCAATAACAGGTTCATCCATCCCATCAAAGAGTAAACCGTATGCAGGATGGTCGGCGGCATCACAGTAGAGGGTATTATACAAGAAGTCGAGGAAAGAAACCCACGACAACGCCAACGCTAAACAATCGCTTGCTGTAACGCTGGAAAATAGACTCGACCATCAGCCAAAGACAGCCACCCATTTTCCACCCACCCGCGAAAAGAAAGTCCACCAACTCGTCAAAAGTCTATAGAAAAGAAGGGCAGTAGAATTGAATTCCTGAAACCCAACACAGAAAAAGCAGCTGTAACACGACCCCGATGTGTATTCGCCGCAGGATAAATATGTATAGCCCATGAAATACTGCACCCGGCCCTCGAGGACCAATCCAGATGATGAGTAGACTGAGGCAGGCCTCTTTCTCAGTACTGGTGAGCGTACCAGGCATAGAAAGGAGTCGAAGCGCCTCTCTCAAAAAATCTATTGCTCAGGAAGACCCCTGGCGGCCTTCAATCTAATCTGTTGGCAGATCTCCATGTTCCTCTGATGTTTCTCAGTCCCAACATTCCAATGAAGCCTGATCCTCTCATCCTCTTTCAACCCCAACATGTAGCTATCAAAACCAAGCTTGCCCGTTGGTTCACCGACGGCCGTAAGCCAAGCTGGATGGAGATTCTGGAGCGACTCTTGTCTCCCACGAAAGTGGTTCAACATGTCGTTGTTGAACTTGTTGAAGCCCGAGATGTACGTATACATTCGCTGCATGTACAACGCGAAACTCTGCTTAGTGAGAGGAACAGGTTCTTCGGGCGCCTTGGGCAGCGTCGGAAGGCCAAAGTTGTCCACCGTCGATGGCTTCAGCGGATGGGCTGCAGAAGGGGCGGAATGGAAAGGTAAACTCGAACTCAGGTCGTTGAGGTCGCGTAGACCGCCGTTTGTAGTCGGTACGAACGGCGCGACATTCTTCAGGCCTGCGAGACCATCCAAGCCAGGTCCTTGCGGTTCCGTTGCGGATGTTGGAGCTGTCGTTGCCTGCTTCGGCGCATCATCTTTCCAGTCAGCACGATGGGGAGACGCTGGCACAGTGCGAGCTTCTCGAACTGGCGCTCTGCGTTTACCATTCGGTATTGGCGGCGTTTCCGAGTCGATTTCCATAGCGTTGCTGCTCTCGTCACTGCTTATACTCTGCGGACGCGCATAGGATGTGCCGTTGAGAGTTGGCTCATCCGTGGCATCAGTCACAGTAGCAGCTTTCGGCACTGTAGGTCCTTTACGTGACTTGGGTGGGCCAGGGCGCTTCGACGAAGTAGACGCTGGACGAGTTGGCGAAGTCGTTGGATAGACCCAGCTAGGCTCCTTGAAAGTCTGCTGCCATTGCTGGGGAGAGAATTTTACCGGTGGCGCTCCCGGGGCAGCCTGGGTATTAACGGGCGGAGCGGGTGGTGGCATGTGCGACGACTGCTGTGACGGTGCGAAGAACGGAGGAGGCGGCGGTGGTGGAGGTGGCCCCTGAGAAGAATTTTGATGCGTAGATTGTGGTCGGCTTGCAGGTCTCCCACGGGTCGGGGATTGTCTACCTTTCGTAGTCTTTCCATTGCCAATAGGCACAGCAAAGTAATCGGAATTACCCTTGAAAGTACCGCTCCACTCCTCCGGAGAGAATGTGGTGTTGATGCTCTCTGCACTCCTACTCTTCAGGCCCGGGAAGTTGTTCTTGAACGTTTCGTCGGCAGTGGGTATGTTGAAACTAGTCGGGTCAGCATTTCCTTTTGAAGGTTGCGGAGTGCGCCCAAGCTTGGGATTTGAAAAGAGATGTGGAGTGGATAAGGGGAAAGTCCGCCTGTCTTTCTTCGGCAATACACTGGATGGAAACATCCAGGGCGAATTGGCATACTTTGCAAACCCAACAAGTTTCGCCTCAGCAGGTTTCGCTGGAGCGGCAGTTGCGTGATCAGCAGTCCCACGGAATGGGGTAGCCGGCTTCACCCAAGGAGAAGTCCAGGTAGTATCACTGAAAACATTGAAATGATTGGAAGTGAAAGAGTCGTACATTTTTGTAGATTGGCCTTTGAAACCCGGAGGAGCGTCGCCAGTACTGCCGGGTGGCTTAGTGGGACCTCTGGTCTGGGGAGACTTTTGCGGAAACCCGCTTGCTCTCCTCGGAGCTCCAGGGTTTGGTGGTGGAAACGAAGGCAACTCCTCTTCCTTATCGTCATCACTAGAGTCGTACATGAAGAACGGACGTGTTGCATTTCCTCCTGGGTTATGTCTGGGTGGCCCTTTGGCCGAAGTTTGGCTAGTGGTAAATGGAGGTCTCCGAGGCGGAGGACTCACACTCCTGTGCCTCGGAGGACGCGACGTAGACGGATCTGAGGTATCATTCTCTGAGAACTGGCGCGGCGAGTGCCGAGTGCTGGCCGAGCGTCCTAGGCCTTCACTCGAGAATTGCATTCTCTCTCCGCTGCGAGATGCGTATGGCGTCCGGTGGCGCTGGCCCTCTGTGAAAGGCACATCTTCGTCGTACGCTGCCTGTGTTCTGAAATTTCGTAGTGGATCAGCTTTGCGCGGCGTAGATTGATCGGACTCGGTCTGGTCTGGAGGAGGATCCTTCGAATGTCGAGCAGTAGTGTAGTATGCTGACCCATGCGCTTGAGGCTCGTCTGCTCCAGGAGTTGCGGGATCGAAGCCGCTCTTCCTAGGCATTCTCGTAGTATTGCTTCGGCCCATTCCTGGCTTCGCCGTACCCGCAGTGCTAGCACGGCTTGCGGTATTAGCCCGTGTCTTCGCATATGCAGCATCCTCGGCATTTGGTGGAGTCTTGTTCGGGTTCATCCGCTCCCAAGCTTGAAACACATTCCTCCTAGCATCTGCATCGTCCCTAGTGTTCGGTCGTTGGGCTGGGGGCGGTGGCCGCGGGAAGTGTGTGAAACGGTTGGCTCCATTGGTGGAGGCAGTGGAAGCCTGTGGCTTGTTGGGAGGAGGTCGAGGCGCTTGCGTAGGGAAAGGGGTTCGACGCGGCGGAGGAGGGTAGTTGCTGGCGCCGGTAGTGAAGCTGGAGTAGGCGTTGCGTGCAGGGGCAGGCGGCCTGTTGCGAGCTGTTTGCTTCTTCCTGTCAAGATCGTACTTGAGCCTCCGCTCAGGGTCGTTCAGGACTTCATGAGCAGCTTGGATGACCTGGAATTTCGTCTTGAATTCCTCCTCACAGCCTGGGTTGCGGTCCGGATGGCACTTGAGCGCGAGCTTTCGGAATGCTTTCGTAACCTCCTCCGGCCCCGCAGTCGGCGGCACGCCCAGGTCCTGGTAGTAGTCTCGCAGCGGATCGGCCTGCACCATATTGGCCGCGGGGTGTGGGGTGTGTGTTGATGTGGTGGTGTGCGAAAATCGAGAACTCAAAAATCGGTGAGGCGACAGGCACCCTCTTCAAGCCGGCGTGGGGTGTCAAAGCGCTGGACTTGTTCGTGGCTCGTGGTGGAGCGCGGTTCACATGAGGTGAACCATGTGCGAGTGAGGTGGTGAGTGCCTAAGGTTTAAGTCTCGGTCATTAAGTGAACTTTGGGAGCGTAGAAGGGCGCGGCAAGCGAGTGAATCTTGGCCGGAGCCCGGCGACAGAGCGAGCAGCGAGCAGCGAGCAGACGGGCGACAAAAAGCAATTCACTGCTTGGGAGGTGACGCTGGTGAGAAGCTGACAGCAGGCGTTGCTGCAGTTGGTTGTTGAGTTGTTTTGGTGCCGGCGGGGTCTTGGCTCACGCAGAACGTCTCTCACGAGCAGCGCGTTGGCCTGGGGCTCCCTGCGAGCGACCAGACTCCCGCGCTGCCGATTGCGGCCGGCTAGGAACGGGACGATAGTGTACCACAAGTGCCTAGGCAAGTGGATGCGTTGTCAAGGCAGAACCTGGGGGTTTTTGCAAGATGATGTCGTCGTCGCCTTCCTTCGCGACACCAGCTTTGCCCAAGCAGTCTTCATTGGAGCCGCCAGGCACATCACCGGTCAGCCTCCACATGCAGCACTGCCCATGTCCTCGACCTTGGTAGGAGGACTATGCATTAGAGAGTACGAGGAGCGCGGTGATATCTTCAACGGCGTCAATCTTGTAGAATGGCAAGATAGACGCCTCAAGTCAGAGGGATTCACAGTCCGTGACCTTCCAGCGTCTGATTTTGGGGGTACATATACGTTCAGCGGGACAGCTCATGATTCTCAATCGTGCACATGTGACAACGTGATCAACGGCATTTATGACAGATGATAGCCTGTGATACCAGGTCATATACTTAGGTATCCTAAAAAATCTACTCAGAAGGTACGAGAGTACGTCAATACTCTGAAGATGTGTCTCTCAAGGCCTTTTCTATTTCTGAGAGTGTTCCAGAGCCTGCGTCCAGATTTGGAGCTAGCGAATCCCCACTGTGCCACTGCTCTTTGTATCTACAGGGGGACCACATTCAGAAGGTCTTGGCGTTATAAGGTTTAAGCGAGGTGTAGAGGGCAGTGGATATCTTCATGTTCAACACGTGCTCTAATTTCTTCCACCTAAGCATTTCTGCACATTAGAAAAAGCTATTGATATATATACACAATAATTCCGGTGGCTCATCAAATCAACATCCGTTGTGGTCTAGGGGCTAGGATTTGCCGCTCTCACCGAGAGTCTCTCACGAAAGTGCCGGCAAGGCCCGGGTTCGATTCCCGGCGACGGAATATTTCCTCTTTTTGCTTTTTGACGTCCTCGAAATGATGGTGAGCATCACCAGCTGTTCCAGGTGTGAATGTACCTTTTTGGCTTTTTGGTGTTGAGTGAGAAGTAGTGAGGCAATTTTCAAGCAGCGATTTGGAGGACGTTTAGTGAGAAGGCAGGGGTCAGGGGTTCACTATTTTTTTATCTCTGAGCTACGTTGGGGGATTGTCATTCTTCTCTCAACATAAAGGAACGCAGTGCTTAGCATCGGTTATGCAATGGGTCTCGGAATGGGGTTTGCACTGATTTCGCAGATCTAACCGACAGCATTATACAGTATCTTAGTTTCGCAAGGTATGTTTCGGAAACTAAATCAAAAGGATAATCATCTCCCAGTACTACGAACTGCTTCTTGGAATAGCATTGGAACGAGAGTGCATAATACCGCCGCTTTCAATCACCTTGACTATGTTCTATTGTCAACGAACCTACATTTCCTCCTATTTCTCCGAGTTACTCTATAGCATTGCCTACTATATGTTCGAAACATAGGCCCTTTTTACTACAACGGGAAGTCGGGTCACGATGATACCACGTTCTTCGTGATGGCTTTCAGAAGATCAAACATGATCGCGATCCAGTCAGGGGTAACACTGCCTCTCGATGTCACCTACGCTGTACCGACCTAGAAGACAACTGTCCCCGAACGAAGCTGATGCTCGTCCTGATGCTCCGGCAAAGACCATCAATGAACCCCAGGCGCTCGGTGGGGACTGACGAATGGCCGAAGGACATACAGTAGATTAGAGAAGAGTGCCTAGACTCTGTCATATTTTACATGTATGCTATGAAAACGAAATTCGCTTCGTTGCACAAACTCCCTTTGTTGACAGTGCATTCTGCTATCCGTCAGATAATCACACCCATGAGAATATCGTAAAGCTTCGAGATAAAAACAAATTTACCTGCCAAAGCCCAACAAAGGGGAACAAACGGCGACGAAGTAAATGCAAGCTCGAGGTCTAGACGTCAACAAGAAGAGGGAGCACCGCCTCCACCAACTCCACCTCCATACTCACTCACAAGCCAACTCCTCAGCACAACTTTCAGCCCCAGAAGATACCCCACGTAGGCATAAGATCACCCCAACCCAATCCTGTGAATTCTCCGACCCCACGATAAGTACCTTGCCGAAGCTCCCAAATCAATCGACCTAGAACGCACGGTCTTCTGCGAAGGTTACACATATCCAAAAGTTATCTATGACGTGACTGTTCGATGTCCGAGTAATATCCCCCGGGCATGGCTCACGGGCCCTTCAGTTGCAAGGGAATATGAAGTTGGCTGACAAGAATCGGAGTGCTGGAAATTGAAGGAGCATATTCCTCTTTCACGATGGAGATACGAGTATGATGATGTCGGGTTGGTCTCCACGAGAAGCGCGTGGCCTTATGTGTCAGGCCTTGGGGGGGGTTTGGCGCTGGCTGGTGGTGAGCGTATAAGTAGCTAGCAGTTGGGAATCGAGATTGGTTCTCAATTCACACTCTTTTGTGGCGCCGTTGGTAAAGCCAGCTGCCCGGCTTCACATTATGGACGTATGTAGCTATTCGGATCGATCCGAGATGAAGATATGGACGTGGCAATCTGACTGTGAGAAAGAAAGGAGAAAGGGATGACTATTGCTGGCTTACTGACAAGTTTGCATGATGACTCCAGAACAACACCTGAAAAAGAGCAGCACTAGGTACGTACCTCACGCAGCTCCCTGCGCCCAATCGCACCAACGTCAGCCTGCTCTCCATCCCCAGCCTCGCGCACATTCCAACCATCATCACAAGCCTCAATTCCATCAGCTAAAAAGATTCCTCACCCTACGCACCTACCAGCCACCAACCCACCCCCCCTCCACCGTCATCAGCCCTCCCATCACCAGAATCCCGCCACCTGTGCAAGTCCCCTCACCATCTCCAACCGAGCCCACTCCCCAACCCCCGCCAAGCACATTCCGAAACACATCCAACACGCCCGATCTGCAGCTGCCACTCCTGCATAACCGGGCGTCGCCCACCGTTATCGTATCAGCCCTCAGCAACCACTAACCTACCACGCAATGTTCGTTCGCTGTGCATGTGCATGTGCATGTGCTTCGCTGCCATTGCGCACACGCATACAACACGTCGCACTCCTATCAACCGACTAGGCAAGTGCGTCGTGATAGGAAGGCCGCCAAACGCACGCCGCACTGAGGCTATGCATCGGCTCTGCTCACGATCAGGCGGTAGAGTTTGCTTGATGGGTTGGCAGTGGGTTGGGCACGAAGAAGGACGCCCCCCTCCAGAACGAGCGTTGCAAGTTCAGTTTAGCCCAGGCGGTCGGCCTTGCGGTCGGCCGTATCCAATCGCCCTTCTGCTATGCAGCTTGTTGGTTGGTGATTTTCCCGCTTTCGCGCACCCTGCTCAGCCACAGACCGGTGTTGGTGGAGGCGTGTTGATCCCACCCTCAGCACAACGAACCAGGCTCCATTTTCGCCATCTTTAATGATTATGCCTACCATTAGTACAGTTTCCGTGTACGAAGGCTGAAGTTGCGGCGTTGCGGGGTAAGGATAGAAGTGGGTGAGCAGGTCGGGCACGAGGCAGAATTTAGCTGAGTAACGATTAGCTGTGCGACCGACGGTGGCGGGCTGTGAATATGCTGTGGGATGGCTGATTGCTGATTCTGGGCCTGAGTAATGCGCATGTCTGTAGGTGGTTGCTGTTGTGAACCGGTGAGGTGGGCACGGAGAGCGCGTGTGATATGCAGGCTATTGGGCTGCATTTGACGACGGATGCTGCGGATTCGTTGTGTACCATAGAGCTGCCTTGCGACAAGGGTATCTGTAACTTGAAGGTCGAAAGCATGTCACAAAGCAGGTCAGCAGACAAAAGTGATGGCTGTTGAAGCTTGAGTCCGAAGACCCAGCAGTTGCATTACCCGCAGTCCCGTAGGCGCGGTCCACTATCTAGACAAGAGGTATCCAACATCATCATCGGCACGCCGGCCCAGCTATCTTTCAACTCTGCCTGAATCCCAATACCCGATTCCACACATCCATGCAATGAAAACCAAAATGCAGCAAAATTATGCTCAAATCCCTGCGCCGTCGCAATGCTATGCAAATGGTAAAAAAGGAAATCTCAAGAGTCGAGACACTTTTGACCCATCCAGTGGGTTCAAGAATCGATCGCTCTTGGTGGTCCCATCCCGCCTTTTCGTGATAGACGAAGGAGACTCGTGTCTATCATGTATGTTGAAGTGACAAATGAAAGAAATGATAGTGCGGTCTAGTAGGCGGTGGTTGCTTGGCCGCGAGAGTTGCCAGCCGCGCCGAAGACGCGGGTGAAGAAGCCTCCAGTGGAAGTCTTAGCCTTTTTCGCTGGCTTCTCGTCGTAGCGATCGAGAGGGAGGAGGTGGTTGACTTTCAGTGCAGCTGGTGGGTGGATGTGCACGAGCATCGCACCACTGTCATGATCGTAACGTTGAACAAGTGCTTCCCCGTGCTCATCATGGACACTCGAGAGACTTGACATGGAGCTAGCAGTCGAGAGAGCAGAAGAGCTTCGAGTGGGAGGAGATAGTGATGGAGTCCTGGAAGGAGCACGTGATGATCCAGTGCGGGTTGAGGAAGGTGTAGCGTAAGGTCGGAATCGTTGTTGTTGGTCGTGAGCATACACCGTGAATGACCTCTCGGCCTCGTAGGTGGGAAGTTCCAGACGTGAGCGGCTGATGTTCTCCATAGAGAGGTTGTATTGCTGTTGGGCAATCATTTCCTTCTCACGCTGAGCAATGCGGGCCTTCTCAGCGAGGCGTGATTGCTTCTCGCGGATGGGGGCCAGGAAGGGCTCAAGGTGAAGGTAGAGATCTTCTGGGTTGATCCTCAGGTCCCAGTCGAGGAGGAAGAGGAGCTGCTTCTCCATAAGGTTGACTTCGGTAATGGAAAAGCCGAAGTTCTCGAAGCCGCGGACAGCACTGTACCGAGCCCAGTGCTTGTTCTTGGGCGAAGAGTCGTTCAAGTTCTTAGCAGCCAGGATGAGTGATGCAAGGAAGATGCGGTGGACAGTGCACTTCATGCCCTTGGCGACAGGAGGAAGGCGAGCTTTGAGACGGCTGAGGTACACGAGCGAGGTCATGAGGGTTGGGACCTGGACATGTGACCTCTCGACGAGTGACGTGATGAATGCTTCAACCGATGGCAGGACTGGTTCCCGAAATTGGGTCGAGTGCTGGGGAGGAGTCGCCGGGGGGGTCGGAGGAAGGTTCTTGTTGAGATGGGGAACCTGCTCGCACCGGATGACCTGGGTGGCCTTCTGGGCGAGGTACGAGATCATATCAGGAGAGACATGCTGTTGAATGAAGCAATCCAGAGCAGCCTTGTTTTGGTCCGCAGTGGGGGCTGGGTAGGCCATGGTGTCGTAGATAGGTGGAGGTCGAAGAACGAAGCGGAAGGCGGGCTCTTATGCGGACGATGCAAAAAGCTCACAATAGGAAGTTGCTATTGTTCGGGCGAATGAATAGGGTCCGTGCGTTCTATTGTCGGTAGGCAGTCAGGATCGACAATAGGAAGCAGCGCCTGAGGATTCTTGTGGCGGCCAGGTATTTCTTAGTTAAATTAAGCCCAGCTAGGCGGTTTGGAGCAACAAGGTTGAGGATGGATGACAGTAAGCAAGTCCGGGGAGGCTGTTCTTGGGAGGCTGGGGTCCGCTGAGAGTCGATAAAGCGCTGAAACGTGCGAGATCGGGATAAATTAGAGGGCGACAGTCCGACCGGCGGAAAGCTCAGATATAAAGATTATAGATCGGAAAGACGGTAGAAAAAAGCCTAGCAGGCGGTCTGAGTGATAGGCACGGCCTAGTGGAGCGACGAAGGACTTTTGGGGTGAGGTTGAATACGCCGCGGGCTGTGCCTGGCTGTGTGGGAAAGGGATACGGAGAGGCTGGCTTCCGCACGCAAGGATGGAGAAAGGAGGTGGATGGGGCGAAGGACGCGAATGACTTGCACTGGTAGAGGACTGGCTCCAGCGGCGGAGCTGCGATACTTATCCTGTGCCCCTTGGGTACGGTGAGGGCGACCTTTGCGTGCGAGGAATGAAGGTGGGGAGCGCTGCGAGGGTGCTTTGCTAGAGAGCCAATGAGCGGGCCTAGGGCGGTACGGATCGCTTTCTCGCGCGGCAGCCCAAACTGGAGCCCAGCGGTTGACTGGCTGTCTCGGGTTGGCTGCGAATTTCGTGCAGACAGAGGCGTGTTTCACGTCGCCCGCCGTCCAGGACCAACTGTCGCCTGTGGAAGGGGTGTTTGGGGGAGCCTTTGGAGGGGGCTATTTCGAGCAGGCGCCGTGGGCCAACAGAAGCTGGCTGCGAGGGGTCTGCGTTTCGAGGGCGAGCCGTTTCGTTTTAGGGCATGCCAGCACTGCAAGGTCGTGCAGACGATGCCAGGAGGTCTTGTGTCGGATTGCGGTAGTGTCGTGTTCGTGGGCGATGCTGCTGGTGGTGTTACACTCTGTACCTCGGAGTCATCCAGACTAATATGTAGTAGCGATGTGCCGCGACGGTGGCTGGCGAGACTCGAGATTTGCAGCACGCTGGCTGGTCGCGATATCTTGAGGCGGACAGCGGTGGAGAAGGTGTTGAATGACAACAGGCCACGACTGCTGCTTGATATAATGCTCCCGCCATCTCCTGCCACCACCATGCCTGGCAGACCCTGCGGGCGTCGCCAGCTGCCAGTGACGACTGCCGATTGCTTGGTCAAGGGACCCGCCGGCTGGTCGGATGGGCTAGAGAGTGGTGGTGGATGGCGATGAGGAATTCTACTGGGCCCAGCCACCTGCGTCGCTATGTCCAGCCTCCCCTTCAGCGACCGAGGCCCAGATGCTTGTCCGCGACAGGCATTGCGCGAGAGGGTGTGGCTGGCCGAGCGGACTTTGGGCAGGACGATGGGGAGGGCTGCCAAGTTTGCTGCACATTTTGCCTTCGGAGGACGCGGAGGACGCGCGTGGTGGTGTGGAATGGGCAAGCCGACGCTGCGAGGCCGAGGAACATCCGGATCGCCTGTGGCACATGCTGTGGCTGAGGCGTGCCAAGCCGGCAGAACTCACCACCACGCCCAGTAGCATCGCGGCCATCACCACTCCATCGCCAATCACCGCCCACACCATCGGAATCGGCTAGCCGGCACCGTCGGGGGGGAGCTCGCCGTCCTCCATCAGTCGGCTTCGGCACGCTGCCATTGGCTGCTGATCAGCAAACAAATGTTTCAACGCCAGATGAACAACCACGCCCCGTGGGCCACGATGAGCCACGCGACTCAGCTCGAGGCTTCCTGATCATCGCGAGGCTGGCGTACCCCGGCACCGCAATTCATGCGCTCGCCGCGAGGCCCAATAGATGCCGCAGCCCTTCTGTGCAGACTCAGAGCCACTCTTTGAGGTGGCGTGGCCTGTTTACGGAGTCAAGAAGTCGAGTTTCAACCACCCTTCACCAAGCGCTGTTGTCTGCACTGCCTCAACCCACCCTCTCGGGCCGCAACGTCGGCCTTCCGGAGACCTCAACATCGGCCTTCTAGAAGCTCATGAGACACCACCGGATCGCTGCCATCAGAGACATCGCGCCCGGGGCGCTGGTCACGTTGCAAGTATTTCGGGCTCGCCGTCGCGCCCAGTTGGTCATTTGCCTACCCGCTTAGGACGTCGCAGGCGCCTGAACAAGTTACACCCGCTCTCGTCCGTAGCTTGTCCTCATGCCCTTGATCTCCAGATTTCATCTGGCACCCGCAAATAGCCCTGCGAGCGAGTCGCCCGCTTGAGGCTCTGTGCGCGCAAGCATTGCGCAACCTTTGACGCCGCACCCGCACGGACGAATCGACCTGAATTAGACAGCCGCCCACCAAAGCGCTGGTGCTACGCCAATTGCGGCGTGAGCATGCCATCTTCTACAAGGTGGATACTTGACGGACTGCCAAGTCGAGTTCCAGATATCGTGGTTCAGGGCCGCGTTTCCAGGACCGTGGTTTCATGCTTCACTGAAAGACCTCTTCCCAAGTCACCCCACAGCAAGCCCTGTGGGCGCCTCGCCGTGTTGTTTCAACCACAATGTTTATGCTACCACTCTAGAGGGCCACCGTTGTTGACGCTTAGCTTTGCCCTAGAACCTTAATTTTTCATCAGCCGTCTCCTTTCACGAGCATTGTGGCGGAGTCGTTCCATGTTCGTCATCCCAGGAAACTTGGCGTCGCGCGTAACAAACATTCACCAAATGAACGCGAATACTCCGAACTCTGTTGGTGGCGCTATACCCGACATCTCCCTATTGTCGCTGTTGTCGCCCGGGAGCTGGCGGCTCCGGCTTTTCTCCTTAAGTCAAGCACTGCCCTCCGGTCTGCGACATTCTTCAGCGCTACAAATAGAGGCGTAGTTCCTTCACGTTGCATGCCTTCCCACGTTCCCACCCCTCCAGGTTGCTAGCTTCCATCTAGGGATTACCAACCTCCCCTGCATTCATCCATACCGCTCAAGCCTCGCCACAGCAGCCATTGTCACTCAATGCTTAGCCATGTCGGTTTATCTCCGATCATACCATTCTCGTTCACTGCTTTCTGCCCCACGGACTTCCTGTCCATGCCCAAACAGCGAGTTTTCCGTGGAGCGAATACTCAAAATTTCCAACTTCATATGGTCTCGCCTCTCAAACTGAATGTTAGGTTAAAGGTAAGTGTCCCTTCCGTGGGGTCTGAGGATTGCTTCGCCGTGCTTTATGCCGCCTATAGACAGCAGTCAAGTCAACGCCAAAGATGCTTCCTTTTCACAAAGAGACAGTTTCGAAAAATATAACATATTAGTCACTCGCTGTCATACCTGTACTCCACGATTGCCCGGATGTGTTCAGAAGGTTCGCACTTTTGCCCCTTGAATGTTCTATGTCTGCGGAATATATACACTCTATCTTGCCGCGACTTTAACTAATAGAAGCTGTACACTGGACTCTTGTTTAAAGAGTGAACATCAAAGCAACGACAAAGCACCATGCATTTAAATTGCATTGCGGAGCAGGCAAGATCACTTAGTGTTCGTTACGTCTTCGAGCAAGTTCAATACATTCACTGCCTGCATCATTAGTTTGTGCCTTCAATATTTCCACATCAAGACGAAGGTATCACACGGAAGAGCGAGGATTAGGGTAGGAAAAGCAGAACACTATCTCATTTTTTCGTTTGTGATTTAGACCTATCCGATTAGCTTGAAATCTAATGTCTCACTCGTCAGTAAATGTGCAATTCGGCATACCGTTTCGAGATAGTCGCAAACTATATCCCAGATAGCTCTAACTCCGCAACCGAGACGCCGGACTCCACACTTGCAAGGTCGTCAAGCGATAGCGCATACTCACCGAAAAAGGAAACTCATCACATGGTCGTCGGTGACCGATTGACACATCCATCTGCCAATCGCCTAATGTGGGGCTCAGAGCTCATGACCATCCATCCCAACGTCCAGAGTACCCACTACATGACACAAGTCATTCACAGAATCAGAGCAGCAGATCATCTGACCGCCTCTCTGTTATAGCATTTCCCGAGATCTACTAGAGCGTGAAAAAATACGCTAATGATGACCCTTGCGTCCGATTGCCCACTAACAGCTACGAGGGTGGGAAAGCTAGTCGTGAGGCACCAACTCCGCAACCTCGACTTCTATCAGCGTCAGTCGTCAATGTGTCAAATCTGCGTTGCTGACCTTGATGCGATGGAGCGTTTCATGCGAAAGCGGATGAGCCGGTCAACTGTTGTCGTTGTGATGGGGTTGAGGCTAGACTTAGGGATTCACGTCGGAGGAGCATTCGGTCGCCGAAGGGACTCTACACCGCCGGTTGTAGAGCTTGTATTCCATGGGAGAGACCTCCGTGGAACGCTCCGACAGTGCCGCTGTAGCCGATGGGCGTCCGTTGAGTTGTTCAGGGTGGGGCTTTGGAGCTTATGAAGCGGGCCGCTTGGTGTTGACTTTGTTAGCGGCTAGCCACGTGATGCGCTAAAAATATACCTCCACCATATACGAAGGTAGAGCGAGATGCCAAGACAGTAGGCCCCGCAAGGAGCTTCACGACACGAGATCTGGTCAACACGAACTACTCACTGCGGAAAATCCCACCAGCATGAGTAAACTACGGGACGAATTATCGAAACTACGGAAAGACGCCCGCTGCGCTAGGGAGCGGAAGCATTTCTACCCGCTCTCGGAGATTACGGAGCTTCTTACGTTCGACCAAATCTGTGCATCCCTTCGCTCAAACTGGAAGAATGAACGGGATGTGGCGCGATTTGCTTCCCTAATCCATGAGACGAACTTGAAAACCTTTGCTATTCTCCTGCTTAACCGCGACGACGCCCATATCGTGGAATTCCTATTCCGTCGGGAGACAGACTCGAAAATCCCGTATAGCGACGACGGGCTGTATTTCCTCCCCCCACTGGTAGCTCGCGAGTTCTTGGAGCGGCAATGGGAATTCCATCCAGTCATCTTCGAAAAGGGCGACATCCACCGAAAGGTCCGGGAGGAGGAGATCCTTCCGATTTTAGAGGAGGAGAAGGCTGGCGAGGGTGGCTTTGGCACGGTGTGGAGGGTAAAGCTCCACCCCAGGTGCCAAAGGCTCGTGCCTAGTGGTCCCGAAACGGCGTCGGAAAGACCTAAAGAGGCCGTAAAGGTTACCAACCAAGATAGTACGTGAAACTTTGGAACCGCCGTTTGACAAGTTAATAGGGAATCGTGGTTGCTTGGAAAGAGCTGAAAGACGGAGACACTGGTGACGACGAGCGCGCAATACTGGAGCTACTCCAAACTCTTCGCCATCCGAATATTGTGGAGTTTCTTGGCTCCTACGCTCATCACGGTGTCCACAACCTTCTCTTCCCGTACGTGCCCATGGATCTGAAAAGACTATTGGCGGGAATGGCGGAAATGCCGTTGATGGATCCGCACAAAATCTATTCTGGAATATACGGCCTAGCTGATGCACTCAACAAGATTCACGACTTCACCTTCAAAGATGAGAATGCAGAGATCAGCAAGATTGGGTACCACCACGATCTGAGGCCGGCGAACATTCTTGTGAAAAATGATGTCTTTATGATTGCCGATTTTGGTCTCTCGAAGCTGAAGCCTGACGACAAGGACTCGAAGACGCGCTTGCGGGGCGGTCACGATGACTACTTGGGTCCGGAGTCTTTTAAGGAAGCGGATTGGACAAATGGTATTGTCGGTCGAGCCCTGGACGTGTGGGCCTTTGGCTGCATTCTTACCGAAATGGCTTCCTTGATTGAGAGGCGGAACGTCGAAGATTTTAGGATCAAGCGTGAAGCCACTCATGGTACGGAGTTCTTAGTAACAGACAGTGCCTTTCACCTAGCTGGCGTGATCAGACCAGCCGTCACCAAATGGCTCTCAGATCTTACGGAAGATCCAAAAGATCAGCAGGTGCAGGAACTTGTCAAGCTAGCTCTGGATATGCTCAATCCGAATCCGTACAAGAGGATAAAGATCTCAGCTGCGGCATCAACCCTTGCGTTATTAACGTGGTCCTCCAACGTGGGTGCTGTTGATCGACTTTTCGATGGTTTATCATACAACAACGTCGATCGAAGATCAGACTTCCACGTCCTCGTCCTTCTAGAATACAAAAGATTCGGAGCATGGAAATCAGCATTTGGCCGTCTCCACCACGATGAAAGGCTGCGGAGCACCGACACTGTACTCGCCAGTCTCAGCCATCTGCTGGATGTACTGAGGTCGGGTGAGATAGTTGCACGTGGTGCAAACAGCAGCCAGTCGGAAGCGGACGAATTCCTGAGGAAAGTTTCGACTGCTGTCGACTCCGCGTGTGCAACGCTGCCAATCGAAGCACAAGAGGGAATGCAAGAACTGTGGTCCCGGGAGGTTAGTGAGATCCAAGAGATTGAGGTCCTCGCAGCAATTCGAGCAGCTCCAAAACCGGAGCGGTACAGATCAGTGGGCATTAAGGTCGCGATGAGGTACATGTCCTGCGCAATTTCCAGCTCAATTCGCGTAGGAGGGCGTAGCCGGTACATTGAATCCGGCTGCGTAGAGATTGATGAAACCTCCTTAACTACATCTCTGAGCACAGGAGGCGTTCAGTTGATTGAAGACAAATCCAGGACCATGGGTTTTTACACTGGGGAGCATGGCAGGAGTAGGGTAATGGTTGAGTGGAAAGAGTATGACACCCGATGGCGAGACGGCTCTGGACAGATATTGCACGAAACTATGGATTCGTTAGTGAACTTGTTGGACCCTCTACAAACACCAAGACAGGGAGTGACAAAGGACCGCGTACTCGACTGCGTAGGTTACTTTCATGAACCGCGCAATTACCGATTCGGATTCATTTACATCCTGAACCCTCTCGGGGGCTGTGATGCTGCAAGTAGCGCGCAACTCTGCTCGGTCAACAACATCATGAGAATGACCGACCCATATGTCACCGACACAATACGACCTGATCTCGGAGACATCTTTCACTTAGCCAAGGACCTATCTTCCTGTTTGCTTGCACTCCATGACGCTGGCTGGCTTCATAAGAACATTTCATCGCACTATGTTCTTGCTTTCTCGCCGTCACTAGATACGGTCCACCAGCACATCGCTTCCGCTGTCCTTACGGGGTTCAACGACAGCAGGCCGGAGGCATCAGGCTTCACCCTCGGTCCGAAGCAGGAGTTTCTTCACTATCAGCATCCTCTCTATCGCAGAGGTCTCCCATTCAGGAAATCTTTTGACTATTTCGGTTTGGGCATTGTACTTATGGAGTTAGGTTTGTGGCTTCCGGTTTCTATCATACGTTATAACCGTCGTGAGATCATCTCTGCCGAAGACTTTCGCAAGAAGTTGCTGAAATCCTATGTTACTCAGCTTGGTGAGAAGATGGGTACACTATATAGGGACGCTGTTCGCTTCTGTCTGGATGCGGAAGATGACATTCAGTCTATGCAAGAAGATGCGGAAGGTTGTCGAATTGCGCAAGAGATGTTCAAAGTAAAGGTAGTCCAGTCAATTTCTCGTTGTTTCGCCTGAGCCGAGGGCGAATGTATCTCTGATGAATGCTGCTACTCAGACCTTTGTCCGGCATTTTGAGCCAGACAGCTTCGACGACAAATGAATGATTCTAATATTGTGTCATTTCTGTTACAAATCTTAATTCAATCTTCAGCACCGCTACGCTGGAATCCTCCGTCGTGTCACCAATGTCATGAAGACACTGTAACTTTCACACTTAGTTTGTTGTCTCCGGCTCTGCCACTCCCTCCGCTACTCCCTGCTGCGTTACTTCCTGCTCCGTCATATCTTGTAACACATTCTCCAGGTCAGCCTTCCATATATCAACTATCGTAGCAGGCAAGCCTACACGTTCTGCCGCCTCAACAGCGCCCAAGTAGAGCTGGAATGACTCTTGCAACTTTTTCTGGAAGAACAGAACTGCGGCAAGTGAGACCCGCGACTTCAATAGGCTAAATATCGACTGCGTATCCGTCACTAGCAAGCCCTCGCGAACAATAAGAATGCGCCGAAGGTATATCTCGGCCTCGGTATACTTTTCCTGCGCGTTGAGGGTGGAGGCGAGGTTTGCCATGCTCACCAACACGGCGCGATGATCATCCCTGAAGATGTGCTGGCGAACGGCAAGCGATTTGCGCTCAAGCTCCTCTGCCTTTTCGAAGCGGCCAGTTCGGAAATAGACCTCCGCACGTCTGCCCAACAGGGTCGCGTATCGCTGGGGACTTTGTACCACTTCCACGCCACCAAGTTCCCAAATCTCTTCAAACAGCTTCTCGGAATCCTCAAGACGTCCACGTTGCCCGTACGCGTAAGCCAGATCGCCCATCGTTTTGATTGTCGAAGGGTGCACGGCGCCTAGAATCTCCTTCTTAAGCTGTAGGTTCTCCAACACTTCCCTCTCAAGCTCATCGGTCAATGGCTCGGCCTGGCTCAGAGCACCTGCCAGGATGTTTCCTTTCATCTTGATAAGGTTGGGATGCGACTTCCCATACATCAAAGTCATCAACCTATGTGCCTCAGCCATCAAGTCTGTAGCCTCCTCAAGCCGCCCTTGCTGTTGTCTTAGCTCCGACATGTTTTCCTTGACAAAGATTTCCAGGTCACTGCCTTGACTTTGCTTTTCGACCCTCGTGAACGACTCTTCAGCATCCGAATACCGTCCCATTTGAGTGTAAGTGGCTGCAAGGACATTATAGACTGCTAATGCTTCTATGTGCTTTTCCCCTACGGCATCTTTGGCCCACACGGCAGCCTCTTCGCATTGCTGCTTCGCTTTCTCAAAGTTACCTTGCTCGCTATAAGCAATCGCAAGTAACCTCCCCACTTTGATAGCATCTTTCCCTAACCCAGATGCATTTCGTAGATGTCTAAGGACCCGCTCGTAAAGTTGTTGCGCCTTGTCGTAAGCGCCTTGGTTAGCGAAGAACACGCCGAGTGAATACGCGACATCCAAAGTGAGATAGTTATCTTCTCCGAACTTTGCCTCGCAAGACTCTAAGAGGCTGCGCAGAATCTTCTCCGCCTCCTCAGTCTGACCTTGATATGAAAGAACAGTTGCCAAAACTTCGGCGCACGCGACGTAGTTTTCGGGATCCTCGGCGACAGATCTTCCCGAGGACGCCATGACCTTGTCGGCAACAGCGGATGCTTCGTCCAATCGATGCTGCGAAAGAAGGTTTTCGGCAAGAAGACACTTCGTAATAGACCACTCTCGATTCTTTTCATCGGGGGAGTTGATTGCGTCCAGAACTTGACAGAGAACAGCTTCTTCCTTGTCCCATTCCTGACCAGCTCCATGGATCGTCGCGAGCATCTGCAATGCGGTCAATCTCAGCCTGTCATCCCCAGGGAGCTTCAGCCTATTGATTGCCGTCAATGCTTCCGTAATCGTCGTAGTTGCTCGATCTAGTAACCTCATCTCTCTGTAGAGAAAAGCCTGGGAAATGCAGAGCTGCGCCTTGGTAAGGTCATCGCCGGCAAGCATATTAGCCAGCTTGTCGTCGATGCTCTTCATCAGGTCTAAAGCTTGGTTGAGTGATCCTTGAGCTCGGAGAACGGACACAAGACTCAGCTCTGCGTTCACAGTGGAAGGATGTGCCGGTGTTAGGACTTTATTTCGGATAGAAACCACTTCTCTGAGTATCGTCTTAGCTTCTATGTACTCCCCGAGGTTGGTCAGAGTGGTGGCCATGATCTGTAGCGCTGTCGCCGTTTCTGGGTGTTCTGCACCGAGAACATCCTTGAGGATCGGTTGCACGTGTCTATGCAGGTCCCCAGCCTTCCGAAGCCAGCCTTGGTCAGCTAAAGTGTCGGCCAGAGTTATCTTCGCGAGCAATGAAGACGGATGGCGTTCTCCAAAACGCTGAGTTAGGATGTTGGCGGCTTCCCGTTGAAATCTCTCGGCATCAGCTAGGCGGTTCTGAGCTTTTAACACGAGCGATAGCTCTAATTGCAATCTTGCCAGACAGCAACTAGTTTCACCAAAGACACGCGTTCTTCCCTCAATCTCCTCTTTGAGGGACTTCTCGGCATCAGGGAGTCTCCTAGATATCTGGTATGCCTCAGTTCTGTTAGCGCTCAAAAGAAATCCGATCCCAAAAGCGTCAATTACGCTCCTCGCAACGCGACCCGTGATTTGGTAAGCCGTGCTAATCCGTTGGACAGCTAGGTCGACGTCTTCTTGCGTTTTGCCGCTCTTAACCAGCCATTGCCGCGAAATTTCGGTATCCTGAGAGCAGCCAAAGCCGATGGTGTGGCAAACAGTAACGTGGAAGGCGTACTGGAGCTTACATGCATCGCAGGCAGAACATTTTGCTTTGTATGCCAAATCCTGGGTAATGTTAGCACGTAGAACATAGTCCGTGTCGTCGAGCTCGCCAAGAGCTGCCGCCAGCTGCTGGCACGTTAGCGAAGGCAGAGTTTGTGGTCGGAGTGCATTCTTACGTCGAAGACACTATGCTTGGAGAGGTCTAGAGCAATCGAGCTGCATGTTAGTGGCGGTGGGTTCACGAGAGTATTGGGGTTGTCGTTGAAGCTGCGGGAATAAAAAGGCATTAGAGCCGGACAGAACGGACTTCGGTCGGAGGCGAGCATCTTACCTATGAGACAAGTGTTTCTCGATATGCGGCAAGATATCTGCCCATGGTATCGTTCTTCCCCCAGACTGAGGCTGAATTGTAGAGACAACAATATTCCGAAGAATGTCTTTCTGCTCGGTCGAGACATCGCTCTTTTTAATGGTGTCCAGCATCCGCACAGAGAGGGTTTGACCGACTTCTACTTCCTTTAATTTTTTCATTTGCTGAATGAACTGCACCCAATGAACGTCCGATTGTGCCGGTCGTCGAATCAGACACAAGTTCGCATTTTCCAAGGTTTCCAGAGGCAGCAGGAGGTGGAAGCAAACAAGACCGAGCGAGAATATATCGGTTTGCGCAAGTTCCTCGAAACCGAGGCTGCGAGACGCATCTTCCAGCTCCGGCGCATTCCATGGCTCGTTTGTCGTGGGCAGACGCTCCTGCCCTCGGATAGTGCTGGAGCCGAAGTCAATCAATAAGCAATTGATTTCACGTTCGTCCGACTCTTCTATCAAGAAGTTATCCGGTTTGATATCACCGTGAGACACGCCTGTTTGCTGTCAGTAATATCTTTTACTTTGTGAAGCATCGAACACACCACACGCATGAAGTGTATAAACCGCTTCAGCGATTTCGGCGAACAGCTGCATCCGCATATTTTCTGTCAAAAGCCCTTGCTGTTCGTTCGTCAACATAGTGCTAAGGTCTCCACGATTGACTTTAGACGTCACGAGAAGAGGCCAAGCTCGCTTCTCTGTACCAGCGTTAGGCTCGACATAAAAGGAAACACCAATGAGGTCGGTGATGTAAGGGTTCTCTCGAATGGATTTGTGTTGGAGAACGGTGATCTCGGTTACGAGAGAGTACCAGTCCTGGTCTTGTTCTGTATCGCGCTCATGTTTGGACGGTATACCTTCCTTGAAGGCCAGAACCGTGGCAACGTCTGCTGTTGATTGCTGGATTCCTCCGGACAGGCCTCTTCCTAGGATTCCCAGGCCTTTGTGCCAGGAGACGGGCAAGAAAGATATGCCATTTTGCTGCACCGCGTTTAGGAAGTCCACAAGGCTGGCGGACTCAGTTAGCAGTCGAGTCTGCTGGGATGCAGCTGCTCCAGGTCGCCGGGCGGCTCGGGGCATTTTGAGAGTAGGCATGTTGGGCAATCAGTTCCTTGTCGCGGTGGGAATAGGAACTGAGCCTTGGAGGGTGAATCCTAACGGCAGGCTGAAGTCGAGACGAGCCCCTTCGAAGGCGAGGATCCCAACGTCTGCTTCAGACCAATGAAAACTGTCGGCAAGCTTCAGCCTCAGCTCCGGTGCCAGCTACCTTGCAAACCCACAAGTCGCCCTCCAGTCGGCATCCTGGATTCGATGAGCAAGGATAATAGCCTCGTGCGGCTCTTAGGATACCATTGTGATAGTTTGATATTGAGAAAATAAGGATGAGACCTGTCATGCATTGTATAGATGTTCACGTGTTGGATTGTGACTGGTGAAGATTAGAGAGCTAGAGAGCAAGAGTGTATGGCTGAGGCTAGCGTGTCAGGCGGAACGGGGCCATGCGGGCAATCTCTTAACACATAACCACGGCGACCAGGCAGCAAAGCTCTGTTTCCATCAAAGCTTCCAGGTGTTTGTGCCAGTTACCATGACCGTGCTCCAAGTGCTTCCGCAACGCTACGTGGACAAGCAAAAGCTGGCCGAATTTTGGCGAAATCACCCGGATTTCAAGGGCAAGGCATGTGGTCTCAAAGTGAGAGCCTAAGTCGTCCCCGTCCCAGCCCATACTGATCTATCGTCTGTTAGGTAAAGGACGATTCGATTGTGATTGAGGTCCCTCGTGAGATGACTGAGGTAGGACTCGATTAGCTGATATGGCGGGACTGGTTCGCAGTGCCTTGGCTGAGTAGCTTCCAGGAGGAAGTCAAGTCTGTCTACTACGACAAGGAACTTCTAGCGCAGCTGCAGGCAGGTGCGACTGACGAGTAGGGCAGGGACGATGTTTTAGCGCGGAGACATAGTGGGCGAAGTTTTTTGGTGTCAGTCAAGGCAACAAGGCAGAAACCACTCATCAACCTAAAACCATCAAAGAACGGTCGAGTTCATTAGAAAAAGTAGTGCATATATCAAGACTAGTCTTCATCTACGCAGCTAGCTACTCTTTTTCTGGGTATTCGGCGTTGGGCTGTGTTCTCGAGGTCAGGTTCGTTGATGCCTTGTTGCCTCGGCGCAGCCCAGCTAAAGAAATGAAAATCACCACCTCGTTCTTTTTGTGTTCATTTCTTGTTCATTTCTTGTTCTTTCCCGTCGCAATGTTCTTAAATCAGTCGGATACAGTTGAAATCTTACGAGATTGGGAGCACTATCCCTCAAACCTTTCTGCGGTCTTTACTCAAGACAACTTAGAGCTCTGTCACCGGAGATTGCAGAATGACGCGAAGAGGCTGTTCAATCCTGACATTACGGATGTTCGTCTTGAGACGGTACATCTTGACCGCAGAGCGGATACGGGCGTTGCCGAACAGACGCCGATGTTAATGACGGATTCCATCACAGACGAGACAGATCTCGAGGAAGTCCTGATCGTAAGTAGAGACCGGAGACCCTACATTAAGTCCTGTCTAATGCCAGTGGAAGAAACATTTGATGGCTCGTGGTGATCACTACATGTGCGCAATTATAACTTCATTCTCAGCAACGCATTTCTTCGTTACACCAATTCACGATCTGCTGTCCTTGCATACTTTCGAAAATGCGCTTATTTACTCATTATCCGCTGTTTCCTCTAGATTTCTACACCAGCCTCACAGCTGGGCGCCATTCAATAACTCCGAGGATACTTTCCGTAAGATCTTTACTGCTGTGAAGGTCCGGCCGTCTTTCTTAGACTTCGTTCGTGCCTTTGGTCAGCCCGAGGGAGGATACGAAACCGACTTCTCCGGTGGCTATGATTGCTACCATGGGAATATAACCAGCGATGGCCCCAATTTTGGTGAGTTACGTGTTATAACGTAGGTTCACAGCAGTGTGAGCTAAATGCGTCTAGAATTTTTCTACAATATTCGATATGTTGTCAAGACTGGGAGAGACGGCTGGCCGTGGTCAGAACGAAGAATGGGCGTTTATCATAAATATGACGATACGACAGACTCGTCAACCTGGATTATCCTACAGCCCACAGCTTCCGCCCGGAAGCTGCCCAAAAAGTTCTCTTCTGCAATACGTCCTAACCTTAAACCTGTGGTACAGCATATTTTCCTCTTTCGGTCCACGTCTCAATCATGGAAGGACTATCTGAAATACCTGGAGAGCCAAGTTCGAAAGGATGTAGGTCAAACCAAACGGTTCACTCGTTGCTTAATCTCTAACACAATTTTTCTCTTTCTACAGAGCCGTCAAGCTCGCCTTGACGCATCTACAGAGCTTCACGTACCGAAGCCGGACTTTGACCTAGCGTTCTCGAACGTCCAAAGTCTCCAGCACCGGTGTGAGCTTATCCATGATGCCATCTTAGTGCTCCGATCCAATGTTGAGATACTCATCGGACTCCAATCGCTCGACAGGAGAATGGTTCACATACTCGGCACGTCTCCCGTTTTCTTGGACCACAGCGCAGAAACTTGCATGTCGCTATTCAAGACGCACCGGAAATGGGCGGAGGCTATGCTGGATCGTGCAAAGCAAGTTTCTAGTCTTGTAAGTAGTTCTTACATCGAAGTATCGAGTGTCATTGACTAAATCGCACTCATCAGATGACCACGCTTCTCAATTCTAAGCATAGCCAAGCGCTCACCTCGAACACTGCAAGCATGAATCGGCTGGCAGAAGCAGCAAAAGAAGACGGGAGAGCGATGCTTGCGCTCACAAAATCAGCGAAGAAAGACGCGGGCACTATGAAGCTTATTGCGGCCATTACAATGATATACCTGCCGGGAACTTTCGTAGCTGTAAGTGGCAGTGCAGTAATTTACTCGCTCACAGCTAACGCAGACAGACCTTATTCAGCACTGGATTCGTGAACGTGTCTTTGACCGTCAATGATTCCGGCATGCGTCATCAACAAGTTATCCAAGCGTGGACCTATGCATTAGTAACGGCGGGGCTAATGATCGTCACACTGCTTTCTTCGTACTTTTGGGATAAGAGAGTTAGGTTAAAGGAACGAGCGGAGAGCCGCAGGCTGCAATCTTCAATTCAGTCGATTGGGGGACATGAGATTCCACTTAGTACATTATCTGCAGCGGGAATATAAGAGAGGTCCGTTCAGTAAACGAAAGAGAAGAAACTACTCAGTGCCCAAGCAGCATAGATATTCTATCGGATTTCGTAAGATGATTTGTACCTAGTATTCGACATCTCCAACCCTTTCCGATTACTTGCAAATTTCCGTAGTACGTATCGTTTTTCCGAGGTTCTCGGATAGAAGTTCCGACCGGCTCGTTCAAGACTCATCAAGACTCATCGCCATTTACAACTTCTTAGCTCAATTCCTAGAGATCTACCTTTGTAGTTTTAAGAGCCTGCTATGATCCCTTTAGGAGGACAGCGGCTCGTTTAATTTCTATTCAGTCATTTTATCTAACGTGATATCTGGCTTCTTCCTAATACCAATTAATCTACTTTTAATGGTGGAGATCTATTTCCGGCACATCACGTGGCCGCTAGCAGAGTTTGCAACTCAACACCTACAAAGGGCGAGGCTCGCGTGGCTCGCTAGATAATCAAATCTTTTAGCGGGTAAGCGAGCTAGGAACACCAAAATCACCCCAAACTGACACCTTTCCACGCGTGCATCGCAATACCA